AAATATTTGAAATTTAAACTAACATAAAGATCGGTGCACAACTTCAAAATTTGGCGAAGTTTTATGTGTAATCCAAAATATCAAGCACCCGCAACCATATTCCCACGGACAATATGTCAACAAATATAAGAAATATAATCAGATTTTCTACGTCTGCTTCAATTTAAAGTTTAATTTTCACGTAAAATTTCAGATGAAACTTGAAGTTTTGCAGATGATCACATGCTTGCTTATGTATCAAGATTTGTCCAACAATTAGACGCCCCTGAAAATTTGAAGTATACACCAGCGACAGAATGTCATGACAAAACTTGAAGTTTTGTCTGCAGATAAAATAAATCGCCCAATCATCGCCCGCCAATCGCCCGCCCATCGCCCGCCCATCATTCAATTGTAGCCCGCTCACGGCCCGAACTCGTTACCTGGCATGGCATGGCGGTGTGTACTGTCGTCATTCAGGAGGTGAGTTATTCGTCGAAGGCTGGTTCTTCATCAGCGAATGTAGGAGGTTCTGCCGCTGAGCTTGGCGCCGATGACAACCAACCCCTCTTGACCGTTTGATCGGTATGCTGCACGGTATGAGGCGCACGGTATGAGGCCATGGGTCACAATTTATACAATCATCATTCGTACAACTACAGTTATTCCCAGACGTACATAGCAATCATGAATACAACAATATAATATTAAAACTCTGCAAAAACTAAGCAGAAGTTTATTCAGAGACGCACAAGTAACATCAACAAAATCATTCTCACCAGTTGCGTTGTCGGCGAGGAATTGAGAACACGCCGCGTCAACGTTCTTCATCATTTTGTTGGTGCCCGGATTAAACTTGAGCGAATGTTTCCACTGTGTGGCGGTCATTGGACCGTTATCGTCGTTGACGCGTGTATTGCGGATTCTGGAGACACCCTCTCGAATGTTGCCAAGGCGTTTCTGGAACCACTCTTCGCATCGCGTGGACCAGAACCCCACGTTCAACCCTGAGGCAGCCCAGGCCTGGGGTCTAGGCCACCAAGAGACCTTGTCCATAGTGCCATCGTCTATTTATCGAAATGTAAGTGTTTGTGTTGTTGTCGGTAAGAAAGAAAAACTTGCCGTTGTGTGAATAATACGTGCCGCACATAAAATCCACCTCCTCCTCTGACAACTCATCATCGAAGTAAGTCTGGTCATTGATGAGCAACATGAGACCAAATGGTACAGCTTCCCATAAAATTCCTTCGAGAACGGAGGGGAGATTATCAAAACCAAAGCTATGCAGAGCCAGCCTCCATATGAGCCCGCCATGAAGAAGTGCAGCTCTTGCACGAGGCTGATTCATGAATTTGTGGCGATGTTGTTCATATACGACGTAATCCGCGTAAACAGCCTTGCAAGGGGGGCGTGTGTAGGTCGGCGAGTATAAACGAAGTTCCATAAGTGGGCGACGTGCGTCAGGCGCGACTGCCATGGCTTGCAATGTCTTGAAAGCGATTCCTTTTTGGAGGAGATTGAGCGCGATCTTCGTGATGTCAGACCCCCAGTCATGCCGGAGGCACATCACAGCAGTGGCAGCGTCAGCGACGACGAGTTTCCAGATGACCAGACTTGCTGATAGACTTGGCTCTATTACATAGAGCAGTTGCTTGGGAAGTTGCACGTTTGAAACTCGAATGTGCGCATTTGAGACTGCTAGGGAAGGATCGGGTCCTAAGTCCCAGAGATCAGCTGGCATTTCAGATAACCCAGATGCCGGTAACATGACCAGGTAACCTATGAAACAAGTGATGATCTCCTTCTGTGCGTCCGGAATGGTTGCGACATCTGCGCCTACATCGCCGACGAGTCTGCATAGGTGAAGCCACTCCGTCTTGCGGATCCAAGATTCAAACGTGGCCGATCTACCTCGGGGCGTAGAGGTCGATGCTGCGAGTTGGAATCCAAGACGGAAATGTAACGTTGAAACAAAATGCTCAATGCCATGATTGAGCTTCGATGAGGATGCAACCTCATGATGACTGAAGTATTGATTGATGTCCTGCAAGAAACTGGTCCGTGATGGAGGTTGAGGCGGTGCCGGAGGTAGAGTGGGAGGAGCGGGAGGAGCGAAAATTTCATCTTCCCAGTCGCCACCAGGAATGCTGGTGGGATCCAACTCATCACACAAGTCCCACTTGTTATGAAACGAGTCATATGTCCTTGTAGTTGCACTGTATTCCCTCCACACCGAGGGAATATCGTTCTTTGTGATGCGGATGCGTAGACGAAAGCCGTCATACTCCTCTTGGGGCTGCCATTCGAACACCGTGGTCTTCTTGGTAGGGTAATCCTGGTTACCCGCCGATGTCGCGCGGCTCAGACGTGACTGCCGTTGGGCTGGAGTCTCTTTCTCCTCTCTTTTCATATTTTCCTCGCCGCGCCACGCTAAGAACACCTGCCAATCTTCTCCTCGCAACTGTCCACTGTTGCGTTCGGGCTCCGGAAACAGAAGGACGGGAGACACCTCTTCTTGGGAATCAAGTGAGATGAGTTGATTTTCTCCGCCGCTCTGACACCCATTGTCAGCGTGACCCCATGAGGAATCTACATCGCCCCATGCGAAGACAGGTTCCGGTTGCATTTCTCCGCCAGCTGGCGTTTGGCCCCATTGTAGGGCCTCGGTCGCAGAGGTGACAGCCTCCCGGGAGGGAATATAGCTATGCAACATAGGGTCGACGACAGACACGCCCTCGGTGCAGAAATTCAAACATGGACGAGATAGCCTAATTCACGACAAAAAACTGTCCGATTCGCGAAGTCAGTAAGACTGCAGCAAATCCTGTAATTTCCCTCACAGCATGACCAGGCAGCATTGTGGATCTTGGTTTAGGCAGCACACTTTCTAGTCCAGAACCGAGCGCACACCCACAGAGACAACAGAAACATAATTATTGTTTCTCAGAATGAAGCAACCATGGCAACGTTAGGTTTGTATCATCGCCCGCCTTCGAAAATTACAAAGCTGCTATCACGCAAATCCTGATAATAGACAATAGTGACCGAAAAATGAGTATCAGGCGATCTTGATGTTTGTTGTTCGACGGTCGGAGTGACTGGAAATGAAAAGTAAGTAACATGCGACGTCTGGTTTCGGCGGGGCGACGTGCTTTACTTGGAACGTTGGCGATGAAATCAGGAGAGAAAGTCGCTGGCGATAAGGGGTAGCAGCGTTATCGTGGTCATGAAAATGTACCATACTCGCCTGCATCTTTTCCATGATAGAATGTACAAAAATTATTGCAATACGTCAACGAGATGACGGACATATTACCAGAGCTAGTACAGGTTAAACACGTACGCTACTGACTAGAAAGGTTGGCATTAGCACTACTGCGATTCCGTAATCAGCCAGAGTTGGCGGAGGTTGACCGTACCAAGGGAATGGCATATTCTGCGCTAGGCGCATCTGGCACCACATTAACTTCTGCTCTACTCTTCTAACGTCTCCTCATAAAATGTAGCGACCGTCAGATGTAGGCTCGATGGGCGTGTTTCGTATGCCCACTGAGTAGTCAATGCGTCTTTGATATTATCGGGGGAAGGATTGGACCCCAAGTAAGAGTTCCAGAGTCTAGGAATAGGAGGGATCAGGGCAAGAAGGGAGGATGTGTTGAGCGATGTGAAGATTCGCCCTTCGTCGATGAAGGCGTGAAGGTTGGGATACATGAGGGGTACAGCAAGTCGTGGCGACGAAGGAGATCGGATTGTCTAGTGCAGCCGGCTCATACAGTGGACAAACAGCACAAACTGAAGCTCCAGCCAATGGCGGATATTGGCGAAAACGATGAGCTCGACAGTACAAACCGTCGAGCTCTCGGAACAAGTGGACATATGATAGAGTTGAGTGGAAAACCCTACACATAGAATTATGACATAAGCTATTTGTTATTGTTGTGCGATTTCATTGCCAAAGTTCCAATGTATCATGTCCTTTCAATTGAATATAATTAAATGATTGTATATGGCTCGACAGTTTGTACTGTCAAGCTCATCGCTCTCGACGCCCTTATCACATTCTTACTCGTTCGCTTCCTTCCCTGCGGCATGACTGTTTGTACGGTCGTGTGCGCGCCTTTCTCTCCCAGTTTCATCGCCTTGAACCGTTGAACGTTCCGAGTCCTTCGCTACTCCCTGGTTCGACGTCTTCGATGGTCTTCCCCCTTCTCCACACGCCACGGCATGACTGGGATGACTGTATGTACGGTCATGTCGTTTCGTCAGGGTTAATCAAGTACTTCTCAGAAGACTACCTTGAGCCATTCTCGACCATCTGACTTTACCGCGCTCTACAAACCACGACCTGCTCCAATCTCAACCTCCCAACAGGTTGTACTGCTGAGAGGTGTTGACAACTTTACTCGAGCCCTTGTCCTTGCCTCCTTCCCTACGGCATGACTGTTTGTATGGTCATGTTCCCTTTTCTTTCCTAATTTCATCGCCAACTTGAACGTTCTGAGTTCTTCACTACTCCTTTGCTCGACATCCCCGATGGCCTTAGCATCTTCGCCCTGGAACTACTGTCACCTGCTTGCCTATCCGACCTCCATTGATCCTTGTCATATTCTCTTCTCACCGTCATTTCTCTCCGTCATTGTCATTACATATGGAGTGTTCTGCTGTTCGGGTGTGTGTTCTGTGAGTCGCACCACTTTCCCCTTGGTTTCCATTATAATTTAAATGGCCTTCATAGTGCGGCTTTTCTACACTGATAGGTGATGGTACACCTATGTTGCTGTTGTATTCAAATAGCGCCCATGTAGGTAATCACCTTGTACTTCGTCGCTACTGCTTCTTATTACCGTCGCTGCCATTTTCGTTCAGTGATGCCTCCCCCTTTCCCTCGGGTCTTTTTTCCATTTAAATGGTCATCCTAGCCGGCTCTGCCTCCCAAGACCTTCCTCTCACATCCCCACACCAATAGGCAACAGTACATACTGTCGTCAACATCACCCAACTCATTCACCTCTGTATACATAATGCCCGCGTCTCGTGCAACGCTCAAACGATGCATGTGTGAGGAGTGCATTGGTAGCGGTGGATATGACGAGAAAGGCGCACCAAAAGGAGTGCTTATGGCAGAACGTTCAATCGCGTCTCATGTCTGGCGTGTAAAAACGGAACGTGCCGAGCAGGCTGCAGGCAACACTGGGGCCAGGAATGTTGACCTGCATTCTGTCATCTCCGATCCTTCCGCGTGCGCCATCACTGGGGTTGCCACTCCTGTTTCTGCTATTACCAGCTACCTTAGTCGGTTGACCCTTTCTACGGGCACTCCACAGTCATCATCATTCACTTCTTCTATGGCCGATGGTCTCTATCGTCCAGTACCGTGCAACACTCATGCAGTACCTGCCTCTGACCATGACGTCAACCACTTGACATTGTCGGATTCCCTGCCACCTCCTTTGACAATTCACAGAGCTGCTGGTGATAAATCAACCAAAAAGCACAACCAGCGCACCGTGAAGGCATTAGAAATTTTTGACAACATCGAATCCCGGATTCAGCGGTGCTTTCGCTTGTTGCTGCATCCTGGTAGCATCAATGACATTGGTCATGAGCTACTTCTACTTTGCAAAGCTCTGGAGACCGTCAGTAAACAGGCAGATGTCGTGGTCGCACAAAAGAAGGCCATCGTATTATGCATGGATGAACTGTCGACCCAATTCAAGAGCCGCAAGCCGTCCGATGACTCGCTGAAAGTAGCTGTCGAGATCAATACCGGTAAGCAGCGAGTACGTGATCATGATTATTTGCTGATTGTTCTGTAGACACCTCTCAGCAAGCTTCAGTAAATCAGTCAGACGAAATTACCCAAGTCGTCCTATTCTTTTGTGTCACATGTAGAGTTGTCATGGGGGTCAGCAGGAGTAGCTGCGATTTAATCATGAAGATAATTTCCATCATACTGTTTCTCGCATTCCGGAGGTCGGACAGCAGTCTCAGCTCCTCCCACGAAAATATTCTCAAGCAGATTCCCATGACCTCGGGAAGTGCAGAAGCAAAATTTCATCTCACAGGCAAAATCGTCCCGTATGCTGTCTGCAGTTGTCATTGCACCTACGCCCCAATCTATGCACCAGGCTCGATGACTGCAATATATCCTGAACGGTGCACGCACTGTCCTACGCCTGGGACCGAATGTGGCGAGACTTTGCTTATTGTTGGCGCTGATGGAGAACCCCGTCCAAGAAGGACTTTCATGTACCATGATTTCAAAGATTATCTAGCTAGTCTCCTTTCTCGTAGAGATATCGAGGCCGTGATGGATCAGGCGTGCGATGACCTTATGGATTCCATTGGCTCCCCTCATTCCCCCTTTGTCAAAAATCCATTTGATGCTCACTTTCTCCGTCAATTCCGTGGCCCAGAGCCAGGCTCACTGTTCGTCAATAGAGGAGAAGAAGGACGCTATGCCTTTGCCCTTCACGTGGACTTTTTCAATCCGGAAGGTCTGAACTTGCGCGGTGCTAGCACGTCATGTGGAATTGTGTCCATGGCATGCTTGAATCTACCGTTGGATATTAGATATAAACCCGAGAACATGTATCTCGCGGGCGTCATCCCAGGTCCGAAGCAGCCATCTCTGGATAATCTCAACCACTACATCCAACCACTCATCAATGATCTGGTAGACGCATGGGAACGTGGTTTCAAGTTCTCCAACACCGCCTGTTATCCTGATGGACGGCTTACTCATAGTGCAGTTGCCCTCGTTGTCTGTGATCTTCCTGCCACTCGTCATATCGCTTCTCTGGCTGGAGTCGGCAGTCATTTCTACTGCAGCGCATGCAATTGCTATCACAAGTCTACATATGGAAGAGTGGATTTCGAAACTTGGGAGCCTCGCGACAGAGATAAACTGCGAGAATATGCTGAGCAGTGGAGAGACGCTTCCACGTCCTCTGAGCGTGCCAGACTGTTTAAGGCTCATGGTGTGCGCTATTCCGAGCTTTGGTGTCTACCATACTGGGACCCCTCCCGGCAACTTGTTGTCGATCCAATGCACTGCATATTGGAAGGATTGGTCCAGCACCACACTCGTAGTCTGCTCGGTTTGACTTCAGAGTCAACCACATCGACTTCGGCCCCTCCGGCATTTACGTATGACTTTGGCAAAGTACCTCCCGGGACAATGTCATCCAAGGAAATGACGCAGATATCTGCGATTCATGCTCTCCTTATTTCCCATATGAATCTTTCCGATGACGAGGAATGTTTCAACAAGCTTAAAAGCTCTCTGCTTCGCAAGAATATGGGGCCATTAAAGTCTGTGTGCAATTCCCTATGTTGTATCCCACAGAAATCTGGTAGAACGCTGAAGATTGACTATGTCAAAGCTCTTCTCGAGTGGGTAAGCTCTTCGTGATGTCCATTGCCTTCATTTTCGTAACGTTCTTCACAGCGTCGCACAAAACCTCTAGCCGCCCCTCAAGAAGAACGTCCATTTGTGGCAGCAGAAGTCCTTAGACGTATCCATGACGTTATCCGGGATACATCTGTCCCCACTTGGCTTGGTTCAGTCCCCAGTAATTTTGGAGAAGCGTCTGCTGGGACAATTAAAGCTGATGAGTGGCGTTCACTTGTCATGGTCTACCTTCCCATTGCCCTTCTGAGCTTGTGGGGAGCTGGTACCTCACATTCTTCTGATGAACTCGCTGTTCGCCTCAGAGCTATCCTTGATCATACTATGGAACTAGTCTGTGCGGTGTATCTTGCATGTGCGCGAACAATGACGGCAAGAAGGGCACACGCCTACCACTCTCATATTGCTGGTTATGTTGGAAAGTTGAAGAAGATCCATCCCACCTTCTCTCTGCGCCCGAATCACCATGCGTCTTTCCATGTATACGACTATTTACTCCTATTCGGTCCTGCCCATTCGTGGTGGTGTTTTCCTTTCGAGCGTCTGATTGGAATACTTCAACATCTTCCTGTTAATCACAAATTTGGCAAGTCCTCGTCAGAACACGAATGAGCAAAGGGCACTAATATTCCCTTAGGAGAGCTTGAGAACACAATGCTTCGTTCATTTATCAAGGCTGCAAGGCTTCGTGGTTGGCTCGCTCGACCAGATTGTCCGCCTGCTATCCAAGAGTGTAGGGTATTATTTGATAGAGCGTATGCCCCCAAGAGCGCTACACATTTCAGCCAAGAGCTTGCTGAAGATCCCATCAACGATGTTATCCAGGCGCCTGATCAGGCAACAACTAGTCCGGTGCCTGAGGACTTGTATACCCTCATCAGACGACGAACAGCAGTATTACGCGCCACACTCAAGTTCGACGGTATTATCTACAGCAGGGCGTCTACACACTTGGGGAACAGCCAGATTCTCTTCTATCCCCGTGGAGATAGGTCGTCGACCCCTGTCCCCGCCAGCATCAAATACATCTATGGTACGCTGACAGACGAAATGTTATTTGCTGTAAGGCGACATCTCCCACTGGATCATCACGATCGTACGGTCGATCCCTTCTCGATGTATCCTGATTTTCCAGCAAAATTGTACTCAGCGGACCTCGAAAGTCGCCTCGAAAATGCCAAGGTGTCTTGGGTAGTTGGGCATTTTGCGCGATGGACGGTTTCCGGCCGTCACGCAGTGATTCTATCCCTATCTCGTGATTGATCAGTCTATTTTTTTATCTCGTAATGACGGCATTGTTTCGGCTCATCGAAGCCCTATCTCTTCTCTTCATCCATACACCTTCCGAAATCAAGTGTTCTTGTGCTGCCGTAGTCCAGAATGACTACGGTACCTTTTTCGTTTGCTCTCCATGCTTTGTGCCCGTGTGAGCGAGCGGAGTTTCAGCGTTATTTATGATCAAATTTTCTTGACATACTTACCTCGTCACAAACATTGAAAATGATATATTTTGAACAAAGTCAGTGACTAAGTTGGCCGCTTCAGTATACTATGATAATTTGTTTCAAAATTCAAACACGGTGACTGATAGAGGTTTCGACGAGCTGTATACTAGTGACTCAGTTAGTTTGATTAAACATTCTGCATTCGGAATTCGGATACATTAATCATCCTGTGTGAACGTGAACCTTAGTCTTAGGTTAGAGCCAATGATTGAATGATTTCAGCAAAGCGATGCAATGACGCTACAACAACCCATTCATGCCGAATCATCATCACCTAACAGTTGAAATTGGCTTGAAAATTGCCTCACTGTATCCTCCAGGCCCCACTAAGACTGACGTCGCATCCATGGACCAGCTGACAACCTCCGAGCTTAATCGTTTGATCACCGAAGAAACCCGCCAAGCAGATGACATCGATGATGTGGGGCATCTATTGCCCTTCATCTTCAAGTCGTTTAACGCCGACCTTTTACCCACTGCAGCCTCCCTTAGAGGTTCAAATAAAAAGCCACTCTATGACTCTACCAAGAAAACATGGCCTTTAGCGTGTTCCGAGAAAGGTCAGGCCATCGAGAAAATGTTCCCGTCTTTCCTCAACGCCATCACCCATGCGCTTGCTGAATCATTTCCCGCACAACCACTTCCGCCACAATGGTACGGTTCAAACTCTACCACACCCATCGGAGATAGCCTCATTCAGCGGAAGCCTGACCTCTGCCTGTCAGATGACGTGACGCTGCAGTGGAATAATATCCTTGTAGTCGCCGAGATGACCGCAAGCACATTCTCCCTTTCAATGCCCGCCGTAAAAACGCTTGACACAAAGGCGTACCTCGTTTTCAGAGAACAACCATGGAGACGTTTCGTACTTTTTCTCTCCTTCACCCATGAACATCGCGAACTTTGCGTGCACCTATATGATCACTCGGGCGGCATCGTTACCCCAGTGATTGACATACATGAGCAACCTGATGCTTTCAAATACATCATGGCATCCATCGTTTTTGGTAGCCGTAACTGCATCGGATTCGACCCGACCATCTCCATAAATCTAAAGATGACGCAACTGTTGTCTGAGACATTTTGGGCTCGGAATATCAAGTGTATTCCCCAATGACGTAGGAAGGCTGTCGCTAGAGAGAATAAAATACTTCAGTCCTGCGAGCAAGCGTCTACAAACCCACAGAAACAATTTCACTCGCTTCCCGAACATCTTCCAAGTCCATTGCCTCCCACCGAGCAGCCGTCCAAGGAGAAGTCCACGTTGCCCAACCCCATCCCCACAAACTCCAAGCAGACTCCTCCCCTTGTCAACTCGTCCGATATCATAGGAAAAATCACCGTCAATAAAAATGAATACGAGCTGTTGAAGGTTCTATTCTCCCATCAAGGACTCGTAGGCCGCAGAACAGTGTGCTACCTGGCCAGGAGGGACGGACATGAGTACATTATTAAGGATCACTAGGTGACGGGTGGCAAAGATGTTGTCTTGAACGAGGTGAAGATGCTAGAAGCTCTAAAAGGTGTCCCAGGTGTTCCCAGACTTGTGGAATATTGGCTGGTTGAGATGGCGCCAGACCAAGTCGACGATACACAATTATATCGCCAGAAGATCTATAGTAGTACAGCCGGCATGTATCGCACACATGTCCGTCTTGTCCTGAAACCCAGGGCTCGTCCTTTGCACGAGTTTCGAAGCAGGAAAGAACTTGTCAAAGCAATACGTGATATCGTGCTTGGTAAGTTCTTACTGTAGTTGGCATGATTGATCTTGTTGACTAAACCTTTGTCAAAGTTCAAAAGTGTGCGGTCGAAAAGCACAATATTTTGCACAGAGACTGCAGTCTTAATAATAGCATGATAGAAGACACTGACGATGGCAGTCGAGGGGCGTTGATAGACTGGGAATTCGCAGCACGTATCACGTCAGACAATCTGTACCCTGCCGGAGGAACGGTAAGTGGTGTGCCATATGCGAGTTGTGGCATAATGAATAACAAATTGATCAGGGAACGATACCTTTCATGTCCATCGACGTTATTCAGGCAATGAGCACTCTGGAATACCAACAAAGTCAGACAATGGCAGAAGAGCGGAAGAAGGCCACGGACTCCTCCACCCGCCAGGAGGTACCCAAACTCAGGCATACCTACCACAACGACCTTGAATCTGTGTTTTATGTCTTTGCCTGGATCTGCATCATGTTCAAAGGGCCTTGTGGTCAAGAGCGCCACCTTGAAGACGTAAACAGTGATTTCAAAAGGGCGGACATTTGGCTGCCACAGCAGTGGCATGGCCCGCCTGAAAATGCAAGTGCAATAGCCGCGTCCAAGTACTTCTTTTTCTTCAAGAGGACATTGTGCATAGCCAAACAGTTCGATCCCTATTTCAAGGACCTTGTTCCCCTCGCAGAAGAGTGGGCTGAAATCATCAAACAGAAGGATATGAAGATGGAGTTCGATGACATATCTTCCTTGCTCGACAAGCACCTCGCCAGACTTCCGGACAATGAAACTTCCCTTGACTTTCAGACGTCATCAAACAAGCTGGCAAAGAGGATGGGGGAGCCGGAGAAGGACGTTGTTACTCCCAAGCGAAATAGGGTCGTTTGAATTAGTAGTGGTTTGTTTATGTTGGTCGCATAGCCATCATGATTCGTAGTTCTGTGAACGATGTGGAGAAGACTTGAACAGGTTGGCCCTTAGGGGCCTACATCGTGTGCAGCGAGGAATATGTGAAAGGTAGAGCAACGCAACGAATAATAAAATGGATCATCGCCTGCGCAGTGCGGACATCCGAGTCAAGCAAGGAAAAAAAACAAAAGTACTGATCGGCAGCACATCGTGTGTACAGGTGTTGTGACAAACTCAATGTTCGATGAGAGCAATCAAAGAGCAATGCAGGAATTTTACAGGAATTTTATGCCAAGGAAAGCACCACTTCTATATTTTTGTCAAAGTGTGATTGTCATATGCATGAGTAAAGGGAAACATTGTATCTTCGATCGTTAACAGATATGCTGAGATACCCTAATTTACAATAAGGGTACTGAAAGCAGCCGATGAAGTGGCGCTACAGTAGAGCATGATGAGCCCGAGAGAAAAAAGCAGCAACAAACCCGTCGAAGTCAAAATACACGCGTCCATCCCAGTTCAAACCGTATACCAGAGCTTCACCACATGCCCCAGTTCCTTAAAGGCACACAACAAATTCGTATGCCTGGAAGGCACCTCCCAGCAGTACAAACTACAGAATGGTAGAGGCAAGAGAAACTTTGTGGTAGTTGTCGCTTCAGCGAACACTTTTGCCAAAGAATGTTGGGCTCTCGCCTGGAAAGCATCTCTCAGCAGTACAAACAACTGAGAGGTGGAGGCAGTGATCGAGGATGGCCTGAGTGCGCTCAGAAAGCACCTCTCAGACCGAAAGGTCTTCCAATTGTCGCTTCTTTTCTAGAGTCCGTGATCAAGGGGACCGGGGATGGTATGCGGTGGCTGGATCATGATGGTGAGGAAGAGCTATGAAAGTCTGGGAGCTGAGGCTCAGCAGTACATGCCGCTAGAGTCCTAGAAAAGATAAGGAGGGCCTATGATAGTCGAATCCAAAACGACAGTAACTTTGGACTGTTTGGAGTGAAGTTGTGTTTGTTTGTCATGACTCTATTATTACATAAGTTATTTCATCGCACAAAAGTCAGTTTCATCCTAAGTTATACTTTAATTACTTGACAGTAAGTTGTACTGTCGAGCTCGTCGTCATTGGCGTCCTTCCACCTTCGTCCTGGTCATACTCGCTTCCTTCCCTATGGCATGACTGTTTGTACAGTCGTGTGCGCACCTTTCTCTCCCGGTTTCATCGCCTTGAACCATTGAACGTTCCGAGTCCTTCGCTACTCCCTGGTTTGACGTCTCCAATGGTCTTCCCCCTTCTCCACACGCCAAGTCATGACTGGCATGACTGTATGTACGGTCATGTCGTTTTGTCAGGGTTAATAAAGTACTTCTCAGGGGACTACCTCGAGCCATTCTCGACCACCTGACTTTACCGCTCTACAAACCACGACCTGCTCCAATCTCAACCTCCCAATAGTTTGTACTGCTGAGAGGTATTGACAACTTTACTCGAGCCCTCGTCCTTGCCCAACTCTGGCCCAGCAAAAGTCATGTTCCGCTTCACAATTTCAGCTCCACGACGAACTCAGTTAGAGTTGGAGTTAATACCGCTGCGATCCAGAGATCGTCGTCCCCCCATGAATCCCTTCGCCCCCAACACGAACACCTATCTGATTCACCGCTGTCAAACGTGCGAACCGGTGCCAGAAGCTTGGTCTATGGCGAGCTAGCACTTCCGAACAGACGCGGGCTCGCAGGATGTTGCTAGGAATGCACATCACTTCTGCAAATCTATCTGCAAAAAGCACAGCACTTTGAGCTCGTGCCTTGATTGCGCAGAGCTCTGTGAAGGCGACGGAGAAACCAAATGAACAATTGAGATGGTACGCGTAAGATGGACTCACGTCCGGTAGATAAGGGGGGATTATCTTTCTTCCACTTAGCGGCTTGTACTGGCTTGTACCGTCCTAGAATATGACCCACCATTCATTTTAAAATGTCCAAGGGCGACAGGATCGTCATTATCAGTATATGCGAGAGCAAGTTAAATCTTGACTCCAAATAAGGTTCGCTCAGCCAGCTCAATTTGCATCACTTTGTTAGCCAGTCTATGGTGCTAGGGAAACAGATCTCGCGTGACCTCAAAGAGCACACCGTTGAGATATTCCCTGATCTTTTCGACAAATATTTTGGCGCAAGCATGTTTTTACTGGCATGAGTCGCTCATCTATTTACGCCTTATCAGCATTAATGGTGCTCTAACTGCAGAGATCAGCCCATGTCAGGGCTGTTACTTCCCCATACCCAACAGTAAGTTACTCCCGCTGTCCACCATACGCAGCTAATTGTACACTTTTAGATGCCAACCTTCTTCCCACCTTTGAAGATAGCGCAACGGCAAGTCCCAGGTTAGGTTGCCATTATTTTACTAGTTTTGTCTTCCACCTGCTGAAGTTTACCGTTCGTGTAAGTAAGCAATATCTGCTTGCTTTGTGTTTAGCTCGACACCGCATCTATCCTAGCACTACCGAGTGCTTTCAGCTCTTTCGTCCTCCATCACGTCCAAACAGAACAAGTTTTTTTTCGTATGGAAAACCTAACCTCTTCTCTTGCATGCCGTTCGTCCATGTGAATAATACCTGCTTGCTTTGTTTTTAGCTTGACGCCGCGTCTATCCTAGCACCACCAATATTTCGAGCTCCTTCATCGATCGTCATTCTGAGACATCTCGTCCAAACAAAATAAGACTTTTCTGCCTGGTGTCTAATCTCTTCTCTTCCATACAGATACCGTACTTCTCCTCACTTTGACTAGATGGCACAGACACTTTTCTCGTACAGTATCGGCACTCGAAGAAGAGAAGGAGATCGAGTTATGGTGAGTTTTTGTTGGGTCGTCGGCAGATACTACTCTCAACAAGTCAAAGCGCCAGCGTGATTTCTTCCAGAACGTGGCGGGGACTCAATCGTCATCCTCTGGCCTGACAAACACTCCGCGCAATACAGCATCAACCGCAACACGTCGTGTCACGTGTTTGTCTGTCGGCGCTCGAGCGGCTTTCCACAGACTCCAGAACAGATGTGTGCGCGTCACCAACTACGTAGTTTCAGTAGGATGCAGGGTGGGTTTGCGTTCATCTTGTGCGCAAGGCCTTCTCATACATTGCACATAGATGTAAACGTTGATCTTGGCAACGACTTCGGAGAAAGTGAGCGGGATGCGTGACGTGCTTCAGAACCATATTTTCCATACTTGACATCCCCGCTATATCATTCACTTCAAAGTGGCCCCACTTGGCTCAAGTGGAGGTGCGCACATAGCGTCGATACGAATTAATTCCACGAGATCTCATCACATATGTTATATACCCAATACCCCTACCACATTCCTACTGCATCATTTACCTTCTCATTGTACTTGTATAAGCTTCACAAGAACCACATAATTAGCCCTACCACATTGTCGCTATCTCATCCTCTGCTGTAGTAATCCCTTGGACCTATTGGTTTCATTTGCCCATCTCGCGAGTAAGTGAACTCCGCCTTGATCTTGCACTCAAATTTGGTGAATTCTCACGTCGTCTTTTTTTCGCATGTCCCCATAATGATACTTGCAGCCTTGCCTTATCACGTAGCCTATAGCGGCGGCACAGCAGCAGCTTTTAATTTTTCGGGACACCAGGTATTAGAATAAGGACGAGGGAACGTATGAGACCACATATTGAATAAGTACGAGTGGGTACAAGCAGGAAAAGGTATCAGAGACCTGAATATTGGAAGAGTACGAGCGGGAGATGAATCAGCGGAGACCTAGGTACATTATGTCAGAAAAAACTGCCAATATCCAAATGGTAGGGATGCTCTGGGCTGTAAAAAGCGTCCTCCAGCTCCAGCCGTTCAGATGATGTTATGGTTCCAGGCCTGAGACAAACTTCTTCGACGTCGTCAAAGACTCGTAGCCAAGGACTGCAGCGGAGCTATATGCACAAAACATGAGTTTAACACTCAATGTAGTTTTGTATATGGCACTCGCCAAGGGGTGTTTATCTGAATACTTGTACCAGTGTGGTAGATAGATCGTGAGCTTCTTCACAGAAATAGTTCGATATTCGTCTAATGGGACGTCAAAACTTCCAGAAATCAGAGATCCGTGATAAAAGCCCAGTCCCAGGCAATCTATGGCGACAAATTGTTGAGTTATATCCAGGATTGCAGACAAGTAACTGGGAGTGGATGCCAGAGATTCCTCGTCGAGGTGCAATTCGAGTGTTTGAATGCGTAGAGGCGCACGAACCTTGTGTAATAGAGACACAAGGTACCACAGCGGCCCAGCAAGAACGCGTAAACTATGTAAGGGAATACGAGGGGTATCTGTTTTCTGCATAATATCATGAGGAGGATCAATGCATCGACCATAAAGCCAAAGCTGGTGAATGTCATGTCGTGGCAAGAACTCGATGAGAGCAGCGGTTGGACACTCGGTGTCAATAGACAAAAAGATAAGCTGTGGGAGCTGAAGGTTGTGCATCACCACTGTCCACTGGATGGCACTCAATGAAGTACGTGTAAGACTGAGGTCGGTCAATGAAGAGTTTTGCAAGGATGCCAGAGTGAGGGAAACCATAGACCGGGAGAAAAATATCGGGGAGTTTGTGTGGAATGTTTGAAAATTACATCTGTTGGAGGGGGTTGGAACAGCAATGAAGTCAGGAAGAATCGGCGGAGGATATGCATGGTAAGATGCCTCCCGATCCGAGAACCTAAGACTCCTGCAGCTCGAGTCTTGGATAGACTGAAACAGAGGCGCAAAATCTCCTAGCATTTCACCATCTTTCACGATGGAGACAAAGAACACTTGCGTGCCTTCAAACGACTCCAAGAAACCCAGGAGCGCCTTGAGGTGACGATCATCCGCGTCAAGGAGATTGCATCGCAAATACTTCGGCATATGAAAAAAGGTTGTGCACCTGTACAGGAGCAGGGTGAGACAAGCTTGGGTGCTGATGAGCAGTGACTTGTCATCAAACTGCAAGCCTACAGAACGAAAGTAGAGAGGTGCCGCTAGCTCCTGAGAGAGACAAGACACCTGTGCGATAGACCGCAAATCCTGAGCTGGCAATTTTTCCAAAATATCCAAGACAAGCTCGTTTGGGAAGGGCCAATACGGAGACTGGACTGCTGAATCCGCTGTCCTGGGTGTCGGTACCTGTCAGAAATGCAGTGAGACATGGAAGATAGGATCATGGGGTGCTAGCTGACTTACGACTATGTTGGCGATTACAGACAAGCGAGACAAAAAGCGCCTCTTGGGGGTCGGTGGAGAAGAACCGCTCGGAACTTCTTCGAGGGCCTTGCATTTTGACATTTTCTTGAAGTCCTCTTCTGCAGACTCACGACCAACCTCTGATGTCTGTGCCTCAGCTCTTTGGTGGGGATAAGTGGCATTACTTTGGCGGGGATGAGCGGCATTGCACTCAAGAGTTATGCTCTATCTAACCTTTTTCTGAGTTCGGGCTCAGCTACGTTGTAGTGCTCTCCATTGCACAGGTCTTTATGCGCGCGCGCTTGGCTTACTGCGGCGCCGGATTGACATCCTGGAGCCCACGCGCCCTGCAAAATACAATGAGACTTGAGCGAAATAAATGCGGGAAGAGCGAACCAGCGGAATCGCATTTAGGTCTGCAATTGCATAGGAGCGCGACAGGGTGCCTCTCCGTGCTTTCGCAGGTTTGGATATATCACGCGTGACAAATGCCACCGGGGCCTGCAGATGATAGGAAGCACATGCACGCCTCTTGCGAGTGGGCCGTTGAGAGTTGTCCATGAAGTCATCCAGAGCCTTGCACTTTAAGGGTGCATTCTCCTTCATGTACATGTAGTTAGTAGGTGACGTGGTAGATTCTAATTAACGTACCTCCAGGGAGTGCAACGATGACAGGGATTCTACATATCCGATGCTTGACAACATCTGTGGAAAAATCATGTATCAGTAAGAACATGTTCAAAAGGAGCGGCTCACATTTAACGGGGTTGGCTGTGAAAGATCCGGGAGTGGCAATGAAGGATATGGGGGGAACATAGCCCATTCAATATGATCAGCGCCGCCTTGCAAAAATGACAAGTGCACTCGCTTGTTCCAACACCACCCCTATTTGCTTAGGATCTGCATTGTTATCGGCAATGCTGCAACAATAGCATAACAATTGATTGGCTTCATGATAACAACGTGAGTTGATGAATGCAGTTGACGAATGCAGGTGATCGCGGGGAGGGGTACGCTACATCATTATGACGTCAGTATAATCGGACTGTAACTGCTCTAGATCTCAATGGTAACCTTAATGAATCGTTAATCAGAGCTCATAATTGTTTCATTCCAGTATTTGAAATGGCAATTCGCTTCATGAGTAATGGAGCGACCACAGTGCGGTTGCGGTCAAGGGATGCGATGACTGGATCGCAAACAATGATTATAGTATAATATTATCCATCGTAACTGAACTCAGTAAGTATTGCACAAGTTATGGGATCCAACTTGCCTTCTCGCAAACACAGCAAGTTCAACACGCGGTTCAGCCCATATGCCAGAGCTTCACCACGCGCCTTAAGGTCCTCGGAGGCACACGAGATTCAGGAACTTGAATGGGGAACCAAGGCATCATTGAAGTCTTATCAGCTTGAGCTCCAACGACAAGAAGACGATGTTGTGAGTCAATCACTTACCAACATTTCATAACTGACAAATATCAGGGCATCTGTTACAGGGATCTGTAACACCTACTAGAGCCCCAGCTCTCCCTACGCCTGCCCCCGCTCTGCTAGACTCCCCGCGCGGCGGTGCACCGCCTGCGCCTAGAAAGACAGTGGTCTGGACTGCTGTGACCCCGCCTGGCGCTATGACCCGCCCCTGGCCTAGATGGCCTTGTACCTGTTCCATGGAGGCTGTACGCCTCATGGACACCCTAGATCAGCGCATGTATACAGCATGTCGCTTCATGAAGATCCGGAGCGCCCTTGGCGCCTCATGTAGGAAACCTGGAGCGCTTCCACGCACCTCCTGTTGATTGCGCAGTCGCACTTGGCGCTGCATGTATGATCAGAGGTTAAGCCTCATGTACTTTATCTAACCTCATGTCTAGCTATCTTAGATTAGCGATATACTATAGATTATAGACTGAGCTTGAACACTTACATACACTATGTATAAGTAAGACACATTGTTGTAGATTATACTTCACTTTAATCTACTAGGTTCTACCAAGAACTTGCTCATCTAAGCCTACCAGCTTCCTTGTGTGAGACCGCACTTCAAAGTCGCCCCCATACGACTTTGCACGTATCCGCTAGCCCTGCATCTCGACGAGCGCCGTCTTACCGAGATCGCCGGAGGAATCCTTGACGTTCCGTCAAGGCCAGACCACGCTCAGCTTCAGTAGACTCACTCGAGTCGTCGCTGAGAAGACCTATCCTAGTTCGCACACGTCGACCCACAGTCGACGTAACAGCATCTGGATAGGATCAGATATGGATATCGACCTGCCCATGAGTTCCGCTAGTGGGACATATGGATGTGTGGACACCGCTATGGAAGATGAGGAGGTTAGCACAACCGCAACGCTGATAAACCCTGCAACTTACCTAAGCATAAGATCCTCCTTGCCGTCATTCCAGTGGGAGACTTTGTCGGCGGTGAGAGCGAGGGACACCAGTTCCCTAAGAGAAGAAGACTTGTTCACGGTTTGCATAAAACTGTGGAGAAATATATGCAACGTCACCTTGATACAAAGGATCCCCGTACTGACCAGGTTCGCGAGCGCGTGCATATAGCACTTCAAGCTGCATTGGTATGCGTCGATGTTAACGATGTCGTGCTGCCCATGCAGAGCCCGGACAGCGGGAATAAAGCAGTAAGTCAGACGATGATTCACTTCAAGCGATCTGAATGAATGACATGTCAATATAAGGCCCAGCAAACAGACAATTATCTCATACCATATGTGATCGCAAATCGCATCGTGAACGGTGTGACAAGCGGACTCCAATTGCTCGGAATTGCACTGAGCACGACATCAAAGGATTTGAAACCGACATCCAGGGCAGGTGAGCGAGCACACTTAGAGCATGACCGTCTGTTGATGAAGAGATAGGGTCTACGATGCCAGGAGAATATCCTGAGGCTGACCGTGAATATCTAAACACAACGTAGGACCAAGTTGGATGTAATACAATACACACGGCATACCAGTCTCTGATACATCTCCCCACCTGTACTCGGCTCGCACTTCTCCAATACCCAGTCTCATACGTCCCCTTATGTCATACGTCCCCTTATGTCATACGTCCCCTTGTACTCTGCCCAATATGAGTGTTGCCTGATCTTGCTAGCCTCGAGAGCCTGACAGTACAGACCATCATGGAACCTCATGGAACCGCATAGACTGAGGACGATGAAGTCGACAGTACAAACCATCGAGCTCGGAAGTAGTGGGCGACGAATTCAGAGCGATATCAACTAGAATTACTAATCATCCCCGACTCCCACGATCAAAGTGGGGGAGGGTCTCGGCCTTTCCACGTGACAGAATGACTATGTACAATCGTTTAAGGATGTTTTTGCTGGGCATTGTTCCTTATGCCATCATTGACCACGACCTGCTCTAGTCTCAACCATTTGGCAGTTTGTACTGCTGAGAGGTGCTGGCGACTTCCTCCGAGCCCCCTTCCTTGCCCGACATTCTCATTTCGAAAGTAAGTGAACTCCGCCTTGGTCTTGCACTGAACTTTTTCCTGTTCTACTGCGAGATCTTGTACAGACTGTAACCCGACCGTGCCTGCTACCTTGTCAAGAAGGCAGTTGCTGAGCTTCATAGTTTGGGTCCTTTTCCGCAACTCTTGCATCGTTTAATTTTCGTATATTCCTTATCCATAGCGGCCGATAATATGTCCGTCATTTCGTTGACGTATTGCAATAATTTTTGTACATTCAATCATGGAAAAGATGCAGGCGAGTATGGTAAATTTTCATGACCACGATAACGCCGCTACCCCTTATAGCCAGCAACTTTCTCTCCTGATTTCATCGCCAATGTTCCAAGTACAGCACGTCGCCCCGCCGAAACCAACGTGGATAATCACTATTGTGTCCCGAAGACGTCGCATGTTACTTACTTTTCATTTCCAGTCACTCCGACCGTCGAACAACAAACGTCAAGGTCGCCTGATACTCATTTTTCGGTCACTATTGTCTATTATCAGGATTTGCATGATAGCGCTTTTTACAGTGGCTTTGTAATTTTCAAAGGCGGGCGATGATACAGACCTAACGTTGCCATGGTTGCTTCATTCTGAGTTTCTGTTGTCTCTGTTCTGGACCGGACAGTTTTTCGTTGTGAATTAGGCTATCTCCTCCATAATGGAATTTGTTCTATGTAGAAACGTTATGCCTCAGATTGACGCTTCTTGACGTTTGTCATTCAACAATAGCGACTGAAAAGTGAGCATCAGGCGACTTTGATGAGTTTGTTGTTCAACGGTTGGAGCGACTGCAAATGAAAGCAAGTAAAAGCAAGTAACACAATAGCATAAGATATCCATGTCGAGCCAAAAGCTACAATTACTCCTTTTACCATATCGGCAAAAACGCAACTTGATATTCCCGTTGAGCAGGAAGACGCACAAACATCCTATGATGCAGGAAGATGCACAAACATCCTATGCTGAAGACTTGTTTAACGACGAAGACATGGAAGATTCCTTGAGTCAACTCCAGACCCACTGGGATAAGCTGGATACACTGCAACAAAACATATTTGTCAAGACGGTACATCGATGTTTACATCAGGCGAGGCTCATGTCATCGTCTATATAGGTATCGGAAGAGACCTCCCAGATGGACCTGCAAGAACCCTTGGACGATGGCACAGGCCCGCCCCCAACAAGGACGACTCAATCAGACAAGAGGGAGGCCTCCCAGATGGACTTGGATGATGCTGTTGGTCAGTCGACACAAAGGGCTCAGTTTGATAAGAGCAGGCCACATGCAAAGCGAGTTATCGCTACTACGGTATGTCTGGGGTGTACATGAATCGAGGTTCAGGCTCAGTGTTTGTTCAGGTATTGGACAAGCATCGCATAAAGGAAGTTGACTACTCAGAGGCCCTGCGCGAAATTGTGTACAATCAAACGGAGCAGATGAAAAATATGAGGCGTGAGATGGAAACAGTCCGTAGTATCTCACTGGACATTACCGATATCTGACTAGTAACCGGTATAGGACGCGCGAAAACAGCAATTGGAATATTTGAGCAACATGGACGAAATAAAACAGCGGTGGGAAGCAGCTCTGGGAGAGCAGGAAGAACAACTAGCAATGGCCCGCAAAGAACTCGAGGTAATTCCCCCGCAGTGTTCGACCACCAAACGTACACTCATGACCATGACAGGACAACCGTGCCCAGCAGCAGCAGCAACTTCAAGATCACACCAGAGAAAGTGGCGAAGTGCTCAGCCAGGCTAATCACGATTCAATAGAAATTAGCATGCGGCAAATTCTAGACGATAGTCGCGAACGACTAGCGCAGCGAGAAGTAGAGCTGGGTCAAGAACTGGTCCGACGTGAGGAAGAGCTGAGTAGAAAGAAAAATGATGAGGTGAGGCGAAGTGAATGACTCGACAGAAAAACGGTTGATGATGACAAAACAGTTTCGAGAACGTGAAAAGATGATGTTCACCGAGATGGAGCGGAGGTTACAGCATGAAGTTGATAAGTTGAAGGCAAGGATCATGTTGCATTCGCTCATGCATAGGATGCTGAAATCCACACCCCAGACGGAAAAAGACAGCGAGCTGGCCAACATGGAACAGCGATTTGCCAGGCATCACAGGTTTCAGGACCAGGACATGGAAATGGATACAAGCCCCTCCCGGCAAAGGGAGGCAGGACAACCATCCACGCCGTCCGCAAAACCATTGTCAGGCACCCCATGTCTTGATGCAATTAAGATGATAAAGAGAAGTCGTGGAATATCGCGCAAAACTCGCCTTGTATCAGTAGCGGTGGATGTGAGTGTCCGGTGTCGTTGGATGTGATGTAAACTTACTAAATACTAGGTGGACGCTGAGGAAGTCCCTCAAGAACAATTGTCCGAACAAGATGTTCCGCCACATCAACAACACAACACCCTGTTACGCTGACTGTCGGTCGGCGTGTGCGAACTAGGATAGGTCTTCTCAGTGACAGCTCGAGTGAGCCTACTGAAGCTGAGCGTGGTTCTGACTTTGATGGAACGTCAAAGGTTCCTCCGGCGATCTTGGTAAGGCGGCGCTCGTCGAGATGCAGGGCTAGCGGATATGTGCTAAGTCGTAAGGGGGCGACTTAGAAGTGCGGTCTCACACAAGGAAGCTGGTAAGGCTTAGATGAGCAAGTTCTGGGGATGAACCTAGTAGATTAAAGTAAAGTCTAAGTACAATAATCTGTGTCTACTTATAGGGAAGTACTACAAGTATTCTAGCTCAGTCTGTAATCAATAGTATATCGTAAATCTATGATAGCCAGACATGAGGTTCAGATAAGATACATGAGGCTTAACCTCTGATCAAGCATGCTGCGCCAAGGGCAGCTGCGCATAGGTACAGGAAGCGCCGAGAGCGCTCCGGATCTTCATGAAGCGACATGCGGTATGCATGCGCTGATCTAGGGTGACCATGAGGCGTACAGCCTCCATGGATCAGGTACAAGGCCATCTAGGCCAGGGGCGGGTCATAGCACCAGGGGCGGGGTCACAGCAGTCCAGACCGCTATCTTTCTAGGTGCGGGCAGCGCACCGCCACGCGGGGAGTCTAGCAGAGCGGGGGCAGGCGTAGGCAGAGCTGGGGCTCCAGTAGGTGTTACAGATGCCTGTAACACACCCCACCTATGACAAGTATGGAAGACGCGGTCGCAAGAGGTGTGGAGGCCGCACTGAGACGTGTTTTCATCGACAAAGAATTTCCAGTCGTCAACAAGCATAGTCCCCGGAGGAGAAAAACGGAGCAAGAAGAAATCCGGCGAGAAAAAGCCACCAAAGCAAGCTACGAAAGAGACTTTCTTTTGGTAAGCTGAAATGCGGTATAGAAACCTCCACTTACATTGAAGTAGGGAGAAGTTCGGCATCTCTTCAAAGACATTTTCGGAATTTCTCAAGACGCCGATTTCATAGTCCACGAGCCAGCGAGTCACCAGGATGTCTATGCGTATGAATATGAAGATGGCCCAGGTCCCGATCCAAGAAATCCCACCTTTGATCTCCAAAACAGATACAAATCACCCTGGAATAGCAGGATCATCGATTCGCTCCTCGAAGAATTGCAGAAAAGGGGTGGTGATGAGAGTTGGCCATTCCGGAGGTCAGAGATGTATTTCAGGGACATCCTTCAACATCGCTTCAAGCGCCTACGTACGATCTGGACAGCTGCGCAGCCCAAAGTCACAGCAAAGGGCGCATTGGAAACTCCTGCAGAGGTGGAGGAGAGGTTGATCGCGAAGAAGGACGAAACCCTGAAATCTACTCGTCAAACGACGCGTCGGAAAAATGTATGCTCGCGATATTCATACCACTCTGATACTGATGCCCTATCAGAAATATCTCCGTAGAGCAACAGTTCTTGACCATCTCATCAAGCAAATAAGCGATGAAAACCGAGAAGACCTCCCAGCCTGGCAGTGGCTTCAGCAATTAGTCAAGACGCTAGGAGAAGGCGGCATGAGTTCAGAGGAAAGCGACACTGAAAATCAAATCGAAACGGTTCTTCGTGTCAAAAATATGGTATGGCGCCGTGCAATAGAACAGGAATTAGATATCGTCGATCATCAAAGACTTATGGACGACGATATCTTCGCCCCGCAAGGTTCAAAACCAATGAAACGGATACGCGCAGCTGGGAACCCGATGACTTCCAGGGCACAAGTTGATGAATTACCTAAAGCCTTGTATAACGACGGATGGCTGGCAGGACTGACCGAGTGTCAAGCAGAGAGGTTTTCGATTTCGACTCAAAGATTTAAATGGATGAAAGTCATGGTAGTTTAGTATTGTACGGTATATCTGATGGGATAAACCACTGAGTGGGTAGGAGGAAGCTTTTAGGAACTGGTTTCCAAAAGTGAAAGAGAGTGCCGGACAACAACAACAACAACGAGAACAAAGTCGCGAGCACCTCTCAGCAGTACAAACCGCTGAGTGGTTGAGACTGGAGCAGGTCGGGGGGAAATGATGGGAAGAAGAAAACACAATAATTGAAGTCGGCATCATGTCACATTGGGGTTTGCAATATTTAGGACAGCATTCAAACCAGAATTAAATGCCTTGGGTGGCTTAAACTTGAAGTTAAGTGCAAAAATTACGACATTATGACTTATCTTAAATACCAGAAACCCCGATGTGTGTGTCGATGGCCATCTGACGAGGTTGCGCAGGTGAATGGAGGAAAGACACGACAATACAAATCGTTGTGCCGTAGCCAAGGGAGATGTCGATGAACTCGATGATGCATACCGTCGTGCCAGGGGAAGGAAATAGTATTATGAACAACCAATTGCAAGAAGTGCAGGACGTTATTTATCATTGTTGCTTTCATCGCCAAAGTCCAATTATTACATAATTTATTTAGCATTGTTGTGCTCTTTCATTGCCAATGTTCATTACCTGATCTAGTTCAAGTTAACGCTTTCCTTACACACGGACTCGACGGTTTGTACTGCCGAGCTTGTCGTGTTAGCTTGTTTGGGTGTTTAGTCACAACTATTGATTATCAATTGTCCTCATTCCTGTTGACTTTATCGTCCCCGATCCCGCGATCCTCCAAGCACAACGGTATGTACCGTTGTGCTCTGAGAAACTAATCAGCGTGCTTGACGAGTGTGCCACGATCATCAAAACAGATGGCGCAAACAGATACTGATGTGTTGAGTCGCAGTATACCTTCATGGCCATCGGAACTGCAACGATATTCGAAAGTCGTGAAGCAGTAAGTATTTTGGTAGGTCGCTTTCAGAAGCCTATTCACTAACGTTTGTCTAGTAACCCCGTACTTGGTGCCGATTATACCATACAGTGCAAAGAAGTCGATGGTTTTCGGTGTGATACTCATTGAAATACTACGACTGACTAAATCAGGAGTTCAACAGGCACAATAAATACGGAATTTGGGAAGGAATCGTACATCTGTCGGGAGTGATGTATTACTTTGAGGCATCAACAGTGAGCGGGCATTCGCATTCAATTCCGTACCATATATCTTACAGCCATGCAGAAGACATATACGGGATTTGATATACAAAGATGCTCGGATGATCAATTACTCGGATTACAGAACTGGATAGACGCGGCACGTAGAAAATTACAGGAAGATGTTACAGTAACATGGCATGAGTCCCCCGCCAGCAGACAGCCCTCTGCCACCGCACGGCTATAGATGATAACGGAGTCTCACCAGCTCTGTGACGACAGATGACGACGACAACGATAGATGATGATAGACGATAAGCGGCAACTGCCGGCTTAGATAAGCGGTCTGGACCGCACGTGACATGATATGACGACATAGGTCTAGAAGACCTATTTATGTTATCAAGATGGAAGGCAAGCCTCGTGTTGCCTCATGTACTGATAGAAGGATACCACGTGGATCCTATCTCTGATGGAAGCGTACCGCATGGACGCTATCTACGATAGAAGCCCGCCTCATGGATGCTATCTCTGACTCATGTAGATAAGCAGATTAGAACCCAGCTTCAAGCTGAGCTTAGACACAATAGAGTAGCCTTATATAAGGTCGAAGATTAAAGTAGACGTTCCTTACTTTAATCTTACTAGGTTTACCCTTGAACTCCTTGTCCCGCTAAAGCTACCTGCTTGACATCGACTCGTACCTTCAGTGACGCCTCTCACTGTCTGTAAACCCGCTATCATCTCGGCGTAACCCCTCGTTAACCACCACGAGCTACGTTCGAGTACGCAACCTTTGCTTGTCTGTAAAGGCCGACGACTCTCAGCACTCGGTACCACTGTCGTGGTTGTCGCTGTTAGATTATCCTAGTCGCACACGACCGTTTGTCGTAACAGAAGACGCATGGTTCTTAGTCGTAGAACCTATAACGAAACAGAACGGGTATTACTACGAGTACTACTGCACAGTTCCAGACAAGCGCGTGATTACTTGGTTTGAGGTGTTCAACACCGACTTGCTTTTTCAGGAGTGCGCATGTGCGAGAGAGTGGAACCACAAACGTACGTTCCATTTTCTGATCAATGCAACCCGAGTTAATTGTGTAGGACTGGAGCTTGAAGCGCAGTTTTGGTGAGATTCAGCGGGCAGAGAACAACTAATGTATCGGGGATACTAACGCGTTTAGGGGCCAGGAAACACGTCGACTTTTTCCCAAGGCATTTCAATATGAAACCTTCGGAGGCGATTGAGTTACGAATCCATTTAGAGTGGTATCTAGCCGGTAAGAAATATCATTTCATCGGCGCTGAAGATGGAGACCGAACCCCAATAACAGAAGGATTGACTTTACAACAATCAACTGCAGCCTCACTGTTTTGGAACATTGATCAAACAGAAAGGATAATTTCTCACATCAAGAACTTGGGTACGTCTTGCGATTTTGTTTTGCCCTTTCATTTTTAGAGGGAATCGCACAGAGAAGTACACCAACATCGATGGGTTTATGAAAGAACAAGGTATCGCATTCTGTGGTGCGTTAACGATATCCATAATATTACCCAAAATGTCAGATTTACATGTGAACCAACAGGAAGGATATGGAACATTTTACGTGAGTTTCAAGACACAGTGTTCAAAATACTTGGTTTGACTTGTAAGGGAAGGCCATCACCAGTTTTTGAACTACTACGGTTTACCCGAAGCCCGTTTGATGAGGTCTCATTCAGTAGAAGCTAACAGACAAAGGAGAACTTCCAATTTTGTTGGCCACAGCTGCTATGTTCGGTGTCCCAGTACTGGTATTGGAACACATCGAATCGCTTCATGTTGACGGTATTGTCAACTCGCTCGATATCGACAAGTTTGTCGACCACTTCAACAATGATAATTTAAAACATAGCACTTTGGTGTGTTACCCATAACAAAAAGTTGCCTGATCTCACACTACTATTCCGTAGGCAGGCATTATCATGGCTGTGGATGCTGGCATACTTGCCATTCCGAATATTGGTTCTCAAATGACGACAATAGCTCTGTGCTCCATGTCACTTATCCTTTGTGTTCATTGTATCTTCGCAAGTGTTGTCACGCAGCACTTTGGTCAGAAAATGAAGTCACTTGAATATGCAGTGCGTGCCATCTACCATGCCTATTCCTCACCCCTAATTCAGATGTACTGATAGTCACAGCACTTGCAAGACAATCTTACTAGAGTCGCTATCATTTACAGCTCTCCCAGTTTGCTTCGAACATCGAGGTAAATGATTTGCTGCAACTTGAGCAGACAGTACTGACAAATTTTGATAGTGTGGCGTTGTGCATGCTAGGCTTTCTTGTCGGAATTTTCACGGTCCCAAATCGCTCTCTGATAACAACCATTCCTTGCGCAATTGCCCTTGTTAGTTTAGGAGGATTTGTAGTGTGGTCGTTAGTTGTCATATTTCGTCAGGGTCTGACATACGGAAGTGGAACAGCGTATTGAGGGACCCGGTCATGTTCAGAATCTTGTAATGTGACGCGGAGAAGGTCAATTGGGCGGTGTTCGCATACTTTCAAGATGCGCAATGAAACCAATAGGTTTGAGATGTCATTATTTAAAATACAACGGAGGGGGAGACAAGTACATTCCTACATACGATAGAGTAGCGGGAGTAAGCCCCCCAAGTATAGGGCTATGTCCAACATAGGGTCTATGACCCCAAGGGACAATAAATGGATTTTTTTTTTTAAAAAAAAGGTACATTCCTGAGAAGTACTTTATTAAACCTGACTTAGTGGCCACTGGCCCAGGTCCAGTTCTGAACCGTGGTCTGAACCTCAGTGATCGATTCGCCGACTTCGACTCAGAGTCCGGTTCAAAGTTCGGGCAATAGGGGGAACCTGCCATAACTTAGGATAACTGACTTGGTCCAAACTTCGGGCGATGAAATGCTAAATAACTTATGTAATAATTCCACATATGGGTGCCAACCAATGAAAACAAATCTCACGTCTTTCCTGCAACCATTTCCATCCCCTGGCGCGACGATATGTATCATCGAGTTCATCTCCCTTGGCTACAGCATGACGATTTGTATTGTCGTGTCTTTCCTTCATTCACCTGCAACCTCGTCAGGATGGCCATCAACACATGATGAAGCTTTCGTCGCCCGGAGCTCGACGGTACAAACCGTCGAGCTCGTAATCCTTGTCTTCCCGATGTCATCACCAACCTTCCGAGTGACCGAGTCTTTGGCTGCTCCCTGGCCCAACTCCCTACGTATGTGAAACTATCGTCACTAGCCGCATCTTGTCCTCGGCTTGTTTGATTCAACTTTAGCGGCCTTCATCCACACATTCAATTAAAACCCCGCATGTCACTTCAGAGTCCACCACTTCCACTTCCACTTCCACTTCCACTTCCACTTCCCCTTCCACTTCCACTTCCACTTCCACTTCCCCTTCCACTTCCACTTTCCACACCGACCTCCATTGTTATTGATCCCTTATAATCCCAAGTTTTGGTCTGCACTTCTTTTCCACCCACTTCAGAACGTTCAAGTTGGCGATGAAATTAGGAAAGAAAAGGGAACATGACCATACAAACAGTCATGCCATAGGGAAGGAGGCAAGGACGAGGGCTCGAGTAAAGTTGTCAACACCTCTCAGCAGTACAGCCTGTTGGGAGGTTGAGATTGGAGCAGGTCGTGGTTTGTAGAGCGCGGTAAAGTCAGATGGTCGAGAATGGCTCAAGGTAGTCCCCTGAGAAGTACTTGATTAACCCTGACGAAATGACATGACCGTACATACAGTCATCCCAGTCATGCCATGGCGTGTGGAGAAGGGGGAAGACCATCGAAGACGTCGAACCAGGGAGTAGCGAAGGACTCGGAACGTTCAACGGTTCAAGGCGATGAAACTGGGAGAGAAAGGCGCGCACACGACCGTACAAACAGTCATGCCGCAGGGAAGGAAGCGAACGAGTAAGAATGTGATAAGGGCGTCGAGAGCGATGAGCTTGACAGTACAAACTGTCGAGCCATATACAATCATTTAATTATATTCAATTGAAAGGACATGATACATTGGAACTTTGGCAATGAAATCGCACAACAATAACAAATAGCTTATGTCATAATTCTATGTGTAGGGTTTTCCACTCAACTCTATCATATGTCCACTTGTTCCGAGAGCTCGACGGTTTGTACTGTCGAGCTCATCGTTTTCGCCAATATCCGCCATTGGCTGGAGCTTCAGTTTGTGCTGTTTGTCCACTGTATGAGCCGGCTGCACTAGACAATCCGATCTCCTTCGTCGCCACGACTTGCTGTACCCCTCATGTATCCCAACCTTCACGCCTTCATCGACGAAGGGCGAATCTTCACATCGCTCAACACATCCTCCCTTCTTGCCCTGATCCCTCCTATTCCTAGACTCTGGAACTCTTACTTGGGGTCCAATCCTTCCCCCGATAATATCAAAGACGCATTGACTACTCAGTGGGCATACGAAACACGCCCATCGAGCCTACATCTGACGGTCGCTACATTTTATGAGGAGACGTTAGAAGAGTAGAGCAGAAGTTAATGTGGTGCCAGATGCGCCTAGCGCAGAATATGCCATTCCCTTGGTACGGTCAACCTCCGCCAACTCTGGCTGATTACGGAATCGCAGTAGTGCTAATGCCAACCTTTCTAGTCAGTAGCGTACGTGTTTAACCTGTACTAGCTCTGGTAATATGTCCGTCATCTCGTTGACGTATTGCAATAATTTTTGTACATTCTATCATGGAAAAGATGCAGGCGAGTATGGTACATTTTCATGACCACGATAACGCTGCTACCCCTTATCGCCAGCGACTTTCTCTCCTGATTTCATCGCCAACGTTCCAAGTAAAGCACGTCGCCCCGCCGAAACCAGACGTCGCATGTTACTTACTTTTCATTTCCAGTCACTCCGACCGTCGAACAACAAACATCAAGATCGCCTGATACTCATTTTTCGGTCACTATTGTCTATTATCAGGATTTGCGTGATAGCAGCTTTGTAATTTTCGAAGGCGGGCGATGATACAAACCTAACGTTGCCATGGTTGCTTCATTCTGAGAAACAATAATTATGTTTCTGTTGTCTCTGTGGGTGTGCGCTCGGTTCTGGACTAGAAAGTGTGCTGCCTAAACCAAGATCCACAATGCTGCCTGGTCATGCTGTGAGGGAAATTACAGGATTTGCTGCAGTCTTACTGACTTCGCGAATCGGACAGTTTTTTGTCGTGAATTAGGCTATCTCGTCCATGTTTGAATTTCTGCACCGAGGGCGTGTCTGTCGTCGACCCTATGTTGCATAGCTATATTCCCTCCCGGGAGGCTGTCACCTCTGCGACCGAGGCCCTACAATGGGGCCAAACGCCAGCTGGCGGAGAAATGCAACCGGAACCTGTCTTCGCATGGGGCGATGTAGATTCCTCATGGGGTCACGCTGACAATGGGTGTCAGAGCGGCGGAGAAAATCAACTCATCTCACTTGATTCCCAAGAAGAGGTGTCTCCCGTCCTTCTGTTTCCGGAGCCCGAACGCAACAGTGGACAGTTGCGAGGAGAAGATTGGCAGGTGTTCTTAGCGTGGCGCGGCGAGGAAAATATGAAAAGAGAGGAGAAAGAGACTCCAGCCCAACGGCAGTCACGTCTGAGCCGCGCGACATCGGCGGGTAACCAGGATTACCCTACCAAGAAGACCACGGTGTTCGAATGGCAGCCCCAAGAGGAGTATGACGGCTTTCGTCTACGCATCCGCATCACAAAGAACGATATTCCCTCGGTGTGGAGGGAATACAGTGCAACTACAAGGACATATGACTCGTTTCATAACAAGTGGGACTTGTGTGATGAGTTGGATCCCACCAGCATTCCTGGTGGCGACTGGGAAGATGAAATTTTCGCTCCTCCCGCTCCTCCCACTCTACCTCCGGCACCGCCTCAACCTCCATCACGGACCAGTTTCTTGCAGGACATCAATCAATACTTCAGTCATCATGAGGTTGCATCCTCATCGAAGCTCAATCATGGCATTGAGCATTTTGTTTCAACGTTACATTTCCGTCTTGGATTCCAACTCGCAGCATCGACCTCTACGCCCCGAGGTAGATCGGCCACGTTTGAATCTTGGATCCGCAAGACGGAGTGGCTTCACCTATGCAGACTCGTCGGCGATGTAGGCGCAGATGTCGCAACCATTCCGGACGCACAGAAGGAGATCATCACTTGTTTCATAGGTTACCTGGTCATGTTACCGGCATCTGGGTTATCTGAAATGCCAGCTGATCTCTGGGACTTAGGACCCGATCCTTCCCTAGCAGTCTCAAATGCGCACATTCGAGTTTCAAACGTGCAACTTCCCAAGCAACTGCTCTATGTAATAGAGCCAAGTCTATCAGCAAGTCTGGTCATCTGGAAACTCGTCGTCGCTGACGCTGCCACTGCTGTGATGTGCCTCCGGCATGACTGGGGGTCTGACATCACGAAGATCGCGCTCAATCTCCTCCAAAAAGGAATCGCTTTCAAGACATTGCAAGCCATGGCAGTCGCGCCTGACGCACGTCGCCCACTTATGGAACTTCGTTTATACTCGCCGACCTACACACGCCCCCCTTGCAAGGCTGTTTACGCGGATTACGTCGTATATGAACAACATCGCCACAAATTCATGAATCAGCCTCGTGCAAGAGCTGCACTTCTTCATGGCGGGCTCATATGGAGGCTGGCTCTGCATAGCTTTGGTTTTGATAATCTCCCCTCCGTTCTCGAAGGAATTTTATGGGAAGCTGTACCATTTGGTCTCATGTTGCTCATCAATGACCAGACTTACTTCGATGATGAGTTGTCAGAGGAGGAGGTGGATTTTATGTGCGGCACGTATTATTCACACAACGGCAAGTTTTTCTTTCTTACCGACAACAACACAAACACTTACATTTCGATAAATAGACGATGGCACTATGGACAAGGTCTCTTGGTGGCCTAGACCCCAGGCCTGGGCTGCCTCAGGGTTGAACGTGGGGTTCTGGTCCACGCGATGCGAAGAGTGGTTCCAGAAACGCCTTGGCAACATTCGAGAGGGTGTCTCCAGAATCCGCAATACACGCGTCAACGACGATAACGGTCCAATGACCGCCACACAGTGGAAACATTCGCTCAAGTTTAATCCGGGCACCAACAAAATGATGAAGAACGTTGACGCGGCGTGTTCTCAATTCCTCGCCGACAACGCAACTGGTGAGAATGATTTTGTTGATGTTACTTGTGCGTCTCTGAATAAACTTCTGCTTAGTTTTTGCAGAGTTTTAATATTATATTGTTGTATTCATGATTGCTATGTACGTCTGGGAATAACTGTAGTTGTACGAATGATGATTGTATAAATTGTGACCCATGGCCTCATACCGTGCGCCTCATACCGTGCAGCATACCGATCAAACGGTCAAGAGGGGTTGGTTGTCATCGGCGCCAAGCTCAGCGGCAGAACCTCCTACATTCGCTGATGAAGAACCAGCCTTCGACGAATAACTCACCTCCTGAATGACGACAGTACACACCGCCATGCCATGCCAGGTAACGAGTTCGGGCCGTGAGCGGGCTACAATTGAATGATGGGCGGGCGATGGGCGGGCGATGGGCGGGCGATGATTGGGCGATTTATTTTATCTGCAGACAAAACTTCAAGTTTTGTCATGACATTCTGTCGCTGGTGTATACTTCAAATTTTCAGGGGCGTCTAATTGTTGGACAAATCTTGATACATAAGCAAGCATGTGATCATCTGCAAAACTTCAAGTTTCATCTGAAATTTTACGTGAAAATTAAACTTTAAATTGAAGCAGACGTAGAAAATCTGATTATATTTCTTATATTTGTTGACATATTGTCCGTGGGAATATGGTTGCGGGTGCTTGATATTTTGGATTACACATAAAACTTCGCCAAATTTTGAAGTTGTGCACCGATCTTTATGTTAGTTTAAATTTCAAATATTTTCTTCTCATTTTGTACAACATATAAACCTGTCCTAAATATCGATAACCCCGATGTGCCAATGACATTCATTGCTTCTGGTTCACAAGTCAGTAAGTGACATGCCTAGCTCGTTTCAATGTTTTCGTTATAGTGTATATATGCGCATGAATATCTTATCTAAGTAAGTAACAGTTTTCATTTTCCATATGTTTATTTATCATGTTTTATCTAGTGTCAGACGGCAAATAACGAACGCATGTGAATTCAATTGGATCTCCTTGTCGCTTCCAGGTTTTTTATAGCTTCGTCCTGCTTCCTCTCAATTGCCCATCTCGTGATACCACCAATGCCCACCCTGTCACTTCATCTTTACTAACACAATACCTACTTTCCAGTCCCACAAACAAAGGTCCTGGCGGTTTGATGGCGTTGGGCGTAGTTGAGGTGGATTTGGACGGATTGTGGGCGTCTTTCTCCAAGCTCCAGAGGTGTGTGTATTGTGCATTTCATACTGCATCCAATCGAGCAGTCCGTGCTTTCCGTTGCTCGAATCCGATCATCTGTCCTGCATAATATCGTTCTTTCTCATGTCAAGCAGGTACTCCAGCACATCACTATCTCACTCCTTCGAACGCATGCACATAGCTTACTGCATTGTCACCTCGATCTCGTCTTTTGAGCTAGAGGTGCGCCATCTTTTCTTTCGCTTGCCCAGCCACACTCACGCGAGGGTATCCAGGGATGTGCGAAATGCCAGGATATTGTTCAGAGGGCTAAGCGGGACAGATTCCAGGAGATATGGAGTGTCATGTCGGCTCTTCTCCAGTCCTCGTCACCTGCTATGGAATGCCCCGCGTTGTAGTGAAGCTTTTGTATATTTTCTGTTTGTAGTACATATTAACTGAATATAGCAATGCATATTGTTGGTTTCTGACACCGGGTGGAGAGGCACCAAGCACCAACGATGGAGAAGCGCCAATGACGGAATCGGGCACGGAGATCAGGAACTGGGATCTCTGGCTTGATGCTTCACTGTCACAGGTTTAGAGTGTTTTATGCATCAAGGTCCGTGTCTAATCTTTAAGCTTCAACACTACAGGTACAGCTGTCTAGAAATCCACGATCTTGTCTCGTTTAGTCCGTTCGATCCGCTTAGTGTTTCCCGTCGTTCCACACGATGGGGTTCCAGTAACTTTGTAATTGACATGCACGCTCACAAGGAATCGACTAGGTGCGTGGCACTATTTCGGACATGGATCCATCCAGAGGGGTGGACGTTGCAAGGTGAGGCAACATCCACCGATACATCACGATCATACTATGTAGCGGTTGAACGTTACCCTTTCATAGTGAGCTGTCATTGTCGTTATGATTTTGCCGCTAGTTTATGGGGAAATCGTTGGTAAGTTCTCCTTCCACCATAGACAGAGATGATACACAAGCTTCCCACCGTCAGCGAGCCAGCGGGTGACTTCCCGCAAGGTTTGACAAGATTTCTGTCAATCTTCATGCCTTGACCGGATGGGGCTGCATCGATATCGCCGGGATAGTTGCTGGCAACACTTGTCAATTACCGGTTGTTCTCGCACTTGTCCGTAAATCTGCCAATCTGTAAAGGGTAGGTACCCCTCCACATATTTCTGTAAATCATCGTCCCAGACGAAACGTCTGATTCAAGTGCTCTTTTAAGCAGAATGTGCGGGATCTGGCCTGTCTTTTCTCGGTGGGTTGCTCGGATTCATAAAATGCCGGGAAGTCTGTCAAGATCGCCGTATGATGTCACTATATCAGCCTGCCCAACCTCCATCTCGCCTGCCTACCATCGGGAACTTTACCCCCATTGCTTCTGGTCCCTGCGAGTCTCTCACTGCCTGTCTATCTACAGCTTCCTTTGTGTTTGCCTATTTCCCACCCGCCCGCCAACACCATGTCACTGTCTGCAGCTCCCAGTCTATGGCTCCCATGTCCTCCCTCCAGACGACTAGAACCGCGACAGCAAGTTGACAATGAGGACGAGATTGGCATTTCACCATTTTAGACATTCTAAGTAGTAGATACGATACTATTGTTAATCATACGCAAACCCAACCGACCTCCATAACCTACTTGAGAAGATTCCGTACGACCTTCAAATCCGTATATAATTTTATGTACTTGAGCAGCCCTACTTTAGTTGGTGGTGGCATCAGTGTACGAGGTTGGGGCAAACCCGACGCGGGAGCGGGAGGTATCGAATATACAATAGAAGCGCTCGGTGAATGGGTAGCCATTAACAAAGTCAAACCCTTTGCCACTTGGCGTACCAAGGTCGTTAACGACGAGATATATGGCGTTGCTACTACCACCAATGTAGGTGTTGAGAATACGAGGCCAGATTTGGCCGTTAGGGGTGAGAGAGAAGATTGCCTGTGCAAATGGTAAACAAGGGATGTGAGGGCTGACAGAAATGGCGTACGCTGCCAATATTGAAGTTCAGGTTCTGGAGGGCTCCGTATTGGGTAGAGGAAATGAGGAGAAGACCAGTCGCCGCATCCAGTGTACCACCGGTTAAAGACTGGTACTGGTCGAAGGCATCTATCTAATGATAAAACCATAATTACTCGCTGCACTCGAGATACACACCTGTAGCAATGTGAATAAAGGTGGTTCCAACATCGACGATACCAGCAGTGGAGGACAAGATCATTGCGGAGCCGTAGGAAATGCTCTGGTCGATGCCCCAATATTTCGATGCAGGCTTGGTGGTAGTGAGAGGACTGAAACAAAACGATCACTATCAGCCTGGATTGATCTAGGAGCTGAGGTAGCTTACGTGTACGTAATGGAACCGTGCTTGTTACGGACAGTTCCACCAAAGGTGAGCTCTCCATTGACCATTGACTGGGTTGAAGTGGTGGGCTGGAAAGAGATACTAACAACCTCACGATGAATGGTGCCTTGGCTATGCAGGTTGTCACTGACAGTCGGGACCGTTATTGTCACATCTTCTGTCAGGGAACCCGCTGTCAAGCCTACAGGCCCAAGGCCAAGGATGCCGTCAGCTTCGCCGAAGCTGCCCGACGTCTCAGTAGCAACACCGATCCACTGTTGGGCGATGGTGATCCCATTACCGAAATCGAAGGTGTCCGTGTACTCAGTTCCTATGGATGATCATAGGTATCTTCAACAACTTGTGATATCTTTGTATGTCATACCAGAGAAGTAGCCGGCACCGTAAGTGACCTTCACATACTCACCAGTGTTGACGCTGGTGCTGGTCGGCACGTATGGTGTGCGAGCGCCAATCCATGTGTTCGAGGTACCGGTGTCGATGATCAAGTAGTCTTCAATAATACATCAGCAACCGCATATTTTCTCAGTGTTGAACTTACAAGTTGTGGCGGGGTTACCAATGCCAACTGCTACGTAGTATCCATTACCAACGTTGGCCACAGGAACGCCATGGCTGCCGTGCTTCAAGTTGTAGTCCTTAAGCCTGAAGGCCGCCACGCGAGCTTTATCCTGCTCCAGGGCGTTAATGGTACCATTGGAGACACTTAGCCTCCTGGCAATGGGGAGGGTGATGGGGGAATTGTTCACTTCAGCGGGCGATCCTGTGATCGACAAGGCCAGGAGGAGAATCGTCAACAAGGATGCAGCGAACATGCTGACTTGAAAGTAATATCATATTCAGTGGTCTGTTATATATGCGCTAGTGAACCCGAACTTGAATATTGGGCATCTTGGCCACGTATAAAACGATGACAAAATAATGGTGGTCCGAGTATTGTGGGTGCAAGGATTCCGAGTTTCCTGATATAAAAAAACAGTGACAAGAAGTTGGTTTTCAATTCAGGAATTTGCAATTCACCATCATGATCCATTGATCCATTGACTGAGCTCACGTTCATTTCCGTAGAGATACACCTCAGAGGAACGTTAGTGTCAGGTTGGTGTAGCAAGCGTTGCCGAGGAGAGTAATTCTCCCTATCACTGTCCCGGCTCTGTCAATGATCGAGTTGTTGGATTCGCACCATGTGAGGCCATTTGCCAACTCGACCCGAAACCATAGAATAGAATAATAGTATCAAGACGAAGCAGTGATGAAGCAGGCCATTTTATGGAGCACGTCGGCTGGTTACACATGGTCCAATGCCAGTGTTTCATTTACGCAAGTGGGAAATTTTGCTGGAAGTTGCATAGAGTCAGACCCTCTACCATGAAAGAAATCAGTGCATTCAACTTGAACTTGAAGTCACTTATCAGAAATCAACGTTCGACGTGATGCGTGGCCACCTACAGGTATCATCTAAGGGCCAAGAATTTTCAAAATGATTCATGCTACCATGGTCCCGGATCAGAGTGTTGTAATACATGTTGAAGTCACTGGACGAGTGACAGTACTTAATAGTCCGAGTCGTAGCATCCAAATTTCAAAACCTATATATGGCAACCTCATACCATCCAGGGTCAACAGCCCCAGCAGGGTGACCTAGGCCCATCATGCATCATGACGCGGTCAGCTTCGTGTCCTCCATATATGCATGGATCAGGAATTGCTGTTGAGGATAAATCATTCATCATACGTTGAATGTATGCTGGTCTCTCATCATGTGCTAGTCATTGCGAAGCCTTTAGAACTGCCGGGACGCTTGTATGCACTACCAGACTGATATTCCAGGATAAGCACATATCATTTTAATACCACATGGCGTGCATTACAAAAATCTACTACATGCATGATTGAAACTCTAGGGCGCCGAGTGACGAGAAAGATCCAAATGGTACAATGACACGACAGCAATACAAATGGAAAAGCGGTGAGTGATGGTGTGCGGACAGCAACAGACAGCAATACAAAAACGAGAGACAGGGCCAGCAAATGCAGCATTCCTGCGGGACATGCAACGGATGCGAAATCGTGATGTGAGACATAGTAGAATCGAGTGGTGAACTAGTTTTCAAGCAGTCAGACTAGTATGCAAGGAACAAGAAACGTCATACCAGAGAACGCCAAGTTACTTTCGGCCCTTGCGTTTCTTACCAACGCTCTTGCTGCTCTCGCCTGCCTTGGCCCGCTTGCCCGGTTTCGGATGTTTTGCTGGAGAAGGAGCAACCGATTCCGCGTCAGTCAGTGGGCTGTCGCTATCAGCCAGAAACTCCGCAGATGGGCGCTTTTTGGACACTACGGTATGGGACATAGTGGAAACTGATGCGGGCTTTAGCAAATAGTCAGTAGGAGTCAATGCTCGTGCAGGAGGCAGAGTGGGTGCAGAAGGAACATGAGCACTCGAACTTGAAGAAGCATGTTGAGTGGTACGTTTGATGGGGCGAGGTCTAGGAATGGGCCTTGCGGGCGGTGACACAATCAAGTCTTCTGGAGAAGGAGTAGTTGGAAGAGAGGATGGTTCCCTTGTTGATGTACACGCAGTAGTCGAAGCATCCATCATAGGGACGCTCAAAGTGCGCACGTCGCACACCGAATTGTCATGGTGAGTAGGCTAATCCCATTTGTGCCGGCGACCAAGCTCACAGCAACCAGAGGCAGTGAGGTCGACTCGTTCGAAACGACTAGCCACAGTTATGGTAGCCATACTTTATTGGCGGCAACAAAACGGTGCAGAATCCGAACACTGCCGGCGGCCTATAGTGTTATATTTAAAATGACATCGAAACAATGAAGTGAAGTTTACGTAAAATACTCCCGTTGCGGTGTGCTACCATGATGGGTTTGTTTGGCGTCCATCATGCTGCAATGTTACTTGTTGGCACTGCCAGGCAGAAGTAAAAACCCTCTTATATGAAGTAGTGGGCATGTATTCCCACTACCATTCCCACAGAATACGGTGAAGACTAGGTCTACCTTGCTTTCTCACAAGTTGCAGGTAAGCTACTGAAGGCAGTACGGCGGCGTTGGCAACTTGGTAGCGCATCGTCATGAATGATGATCGATTGATTGTTGATCTGAGTTCTACAGCCTTGTCACTCATATCACAATCACCCCTTGATCCCTCTACTGATCGACATGGGCGTTGATCCGTGTTGCAACACTTGGCGTATCTTAGCATGAAACTGCCAATGTGTAAACATTGTAACACAGCTGTCAGTTGTGTGTGTGCTTAAATGGCAAACTTGCGCGTAAAGAACAACGAGAGCGTTGATCTGCTTTCCACAAACTTGACGCATGATGGATCACCCTACTGCTTTGTTCGTCGACGCTGGCATCCAGGCATCTAAGGTGCGCAACGAGTCGAGGTCTAAATAACTCTGATTAACCCTTACGCCCAGTACTTCAATGGTACGGATTATATCAGATGTTTGTACAGATATCGTGGCTGACTGAATACCCAGTTGGAATGTTTGCTATTTTAGTGAGCGCATTAGCTGACTTGAACTCGGAGATATTTGATGCTGATGTCCTTACTTAGATTTTTGATTATTTCATTACCCTGGAGACAGAGGTGCGTGTAGTGCGCTGATTATTGAATTATTTGATGACTGTCCCAAAGTCAGAGTGGGTCTGGCACCGCAGATGGACTTTCGTGCGATTTGTGTTTACTGTATCACGATACTTGCCATTTTTCGCCATTGGAATGACATTCACGGGTGAGCTACACATGTTCTAACTCGCTTTTTGTGACAACCCTCACGGCTGATGGATAGGTGCGCTTCGAACACAGTACTATCCTGGTGAAAGTGTAAGTGATTACAGCCCTTCAATACCCTAATATTATAACAATCATGTAGTGTGTTAGATTTGGACAAGCGTCCAACGGTGAGCGTGCACAGTCTACGGTACATTACTTTTCTCATCCAACCCTTACGCAGTGTTGCATATCATCTGCATTCTGGCCGCAGAAGGTATGTCATGTCTTGAATGAGCTCCCGATATTGACATTTTACCTCTAGGCTTGCTCATAACGAGGATTTACGCTTCCTGGAGGAGTAAGCGTCTACTGACATTCCTTATTGTTTTTCCCGTCGTATGTTTTTCGTTCACCTTTCACCATAAAAGGCTTGGTGCTGAATCACTGCCAGATTTGTTTTGCGGTCTCTTATATCATATCGGACACTCCCTTGATCTTCAATTCCAAAAACACGACCTCGATTAATATACGTTTGTGATGCAATCTTTGATTTTCGTGACAATCATACTCATGCAAGGTGGACAGCGAATCCGGGCCACTGTCTTTTCGTGGGCGGCAGAAATAACGTTTACGAGTACGCTGCTCTGTTACTGTACGAACTGGGTCAGGCGTCTCGTCTTTCAGGAACATTCTTAGACTCATGCATAATTAGTCCTCTTTTGCTTGATGTTGTACATCAGATTCAGCAAGTACGGCAATGCCGTCGGACTACTCCAAAGAACGTTCTTCAACGACTCGGCGAGATATATGATATGCATCATGAGTAAGATGATTCTGTTCGCCCAAACTGGCCCGTGTGTTGACATCATGCTATCAAGTCGTATCATCGTTTAACATAATTTTGACCATGGCTCCTCCGGTGCGTTGCAGTACACCTGGCCAGCCATCCGTGCGCTTATCGTTGAATACAGGTCACATGGGTTTCTATCACAGACTCGTGAGTACATCAACTTGAACGACCGCATCACCAACTGATTGTGCATCACGTCACCAGTCCGCAGATTGTCATCCACAGTGTTCTAGCCTCTCGGATTCTTTTCAACCTACGAGCGAGTGAAGGACAAACGCATATTCATACACTGACGGATATATCTGAGTTGCAGTTTGGAGGAGGCCAATTTTCAACGGTGGTATATGGTGTTTAATCAACTTTATGTATGCAGTGCAGGCCTGGTCCTACTGTGTATGTATCCCATGTCACATACTAATTGTACCTACGAACTACGATGTCTGCTTACCTGCTCAAGACCATCACTAACGGCGTTTCAAAAGCACTGATCAGAGTTTCGAGAAACGTTGAGTCGCACCCCGCGGTTGCAAGTCTAATTGCGACTGCACAAGAACTTAACGCAAATACAAGTTCGACAGGGAATATATGCACCCTCGGTTGCCGCTACTAATTCATCAAATTCACTAGACCGACGTTGAACAGTGTCTAAAAAAGCAGGTTCATAGTGAACTTTGTGTTTGCTGGCCTGGAAGCCTACAAGTGGTAGTATACTCCGTACTTTAAACCTCGAGAAAATCCGCGAGATTTTCAATGAGTGCGGTCAGTCGAGCAGCCTCATGCTCGGCAAGTTCGCGATCCTCGTCATAAACAATAGCTTCCGTCAGACCTGGCAGTGTAGTTGGTGCATACCCTGTTTGAAATTATTAGCTAGACTGCACAGTAGTACCACAGAGGCTTACCAAGGTGTTTCCCGGGAGCAACGCCCAAATGTCTGTACCATTCCCTATCCTTGATGCCATCCTCAGAGATAAATCCACGTTCAAATGCCATAAGTTTCTGATTGGCGGCTCTGACTCTCTTAGCTGCCCGTATGAAATCCAATAGCGGGCCCTTGCCATGCGACTTGCAGAGATGCGCTTCCGAGAAACTCGACTCTGTCATAGACGACATCCATTTGAGTGCGCCAAACCTCAAGTCCTGGACCTCCTGTGCACTAATACCGAGATGCTCCTTGATCCATTGAATGATCCGCCGAATAGCACGGGGATTGCGAGCACGGCTTATTTTCTTCAAAGCCTTATGGAAAGCCTTCTCGGCAGCAGCTTTCTCCTCATCAAGCTTCAAGCTTGCGTCCTGCAGCTTTGCGATGGCCCTTCTAAGAGGGAAAAGATCTGGCAGAATCTCTTCACGGTAAGTAGACTTGATAACACTGGAAAGAATTAGCAAAATATATAATACGACTTCATTTGCTAACACTCACGTGTCGACGTAGGAGTCAAGCTCAAGTGCATACTGAGTGGTGTTTAAAGGGAGGATTAAGGAATCCGTAAGACGCAATGTCAACAGACCCAGATTCTGCGCGACAGCAACCTAGTCACAGGTAAGATCGGGGAGCACGAGGATAAATGTATGACAACAAACATGCTTGTAGAAACCAGGATCTGCGTACACCTCTTGCCACATCTGCGAGTCATAGATAGAGTGGTAGTGGTAAGGCGCGTCTGTCGGAGTATTACCGAAGCCCTGGTCGGAGCTGGCAACCTACAATGGCACAATGAGTGGAGTGCCCGGCAGGGGTATAAGATAAGAGACGAACACCAAGTCTCTGCAGGAAGACTGTGTAATCACTGCCTGATCCCAGTGGGCCAATTCGTGGTTCATCGGAGGTCATTCTGTCCCACATGCGAGCAAATTCGGCATCTACAGGGCCTTCGTAAGGACCAATATCAAAATGAGCATCCCACAGGGTCTTTTGGGCATCAGTAGGGTGGGGGACGTCTCGGGCGGAACGCTGGATAAGGTGGGCGAGAGAAGGGGAAGCAGAAGCAAACCAGCGAGAACCAGAAACCGATACGTCTATCGTCAACTTTAAGCAGAGAGCACATACACAAAACGGACGAAGAACATACCGACATTGACGTAGGAGACTACATGCTCTTGGATCCAGTCGGCAAAATCCTCGCCCCACTCAGTGCTTCCAACGAGACCGTACTGTGACATCTATGGATAAGGAGAGCTGCTGATAATAACTGATCACACTGACCTCCTCAGCATCCCAGCTGGCAATGACAATGGTACGCAGTGGTTTCCATCCACGTTTGTAAAGAGCCCCAAGTCCGCGAACAACTTCGTGAAGAGAGACAGTGCCAGATGTGGGATCCGCAGCGCCCATAACCCAAGCTATGTCGAAGTATGAGGTGCATACTACACAAGCAGATTGCACAACTGACCATCACGGTGGCACCCAAGGAGGACGACTTCATCTTTGATGTGACCAGGAATTGCAACCATGGTATTCCAGATAGGCGTGACCTTGGCATCCACTGCACGACTATGCTTAGTGACAATCCAACTGGTAATCGCAATCGCATACCATCGTTAACCATCCTGACTTTTCTACTTCCAACTCTCCCGTTCAGCTTGGTACCCTCAGGGACACCACCGAGTTCCTCTTCAAAAAGAAGTTTGGCGTTGGCCCAGGAAAGTGGCAGACTTGGAATATTCGGAATGTTAGTTGGCTCAACACGAGTTGCATTCTCATATGCAGGATAGCCTGGCGTGGTGGGATCGCCAGCGTAGATAGAGAGGTACATAACTGAGCCACGTTGAATTGATGTAGGATTTCTAGCAGGACCAGCGGGATATGGCTCATATCCGTTCTCCACGGTGACACTCCCATCGTCTCGAGGGTCGGAGTAAATTAGGACACCGACTGCGCCATGCTCTGCCGCGCCTTGTACCTTGTCGTCTGAGATTAGCAATCTGTTGTGTCATTATATACCACACGGCTCACCTTAAGACCACGGAAATTAGCACCGTAGCGAGCTAGGATGATCTTGCCTTTGAGGTCGACTCCAGCACCAATGAGCTTGTTATAGTCGTCATGGGTACCATGATTCGCATACACCAGTTGGCCGATAGCCTCTCCAGCAGCGCTGAAACCGTGGAAGGGTGGAACGGAATGCTTGTACTTGGCAGCAGTCTCGTCACGAGGGTCACCATCCTCAAGCAGGTCGGCTTTCCATATGGGCTGGTCACTCTCACTGAGCAGTTCCACGACCATGCCATCCGCATTCCCTGTGTTCATGACTGGGTAATAGATATCGACCCATGCGGCCGGTTTGTTAAGCTTAGAGGTCGTGCTGAGAGTTGCCTCGCGGGACTCAGGGGAGCCTGCCGGGTATATGGGCTCGGTAGTAGGCGTAGATATACCAAACTCAGACTGGAAGAGCGCAAGAATGTCCTTTGCGTCCTGGAAGTCTTCCACCGCGCCAGCTAAATGTGGGTGTGTGGCGTAGTCACGCGAGGCTGCAAGCGCAGACTCCGCAGATGGAACGGCACTACAGAGCGCGATGAATTAATAACAAGATGCGCAGCATGAAGTTTGCACTCACAGATAGCCCTCCTCGATACGCTTTATGTAACTGTCATAGGATTCAGAGTGCTTCTTGTCTTTCTTCAAACCAAGGAAGGAGATAGAGTGAGTCTTGTAGAGTAGGAAAAAAATAAGGGAAAAGCTTCCAAGAACCAGGAACTTGCGGAAGATGAGCCCCGTTGAATACCTCCGGACTTGAACTAGACCCGGAGGGTGCGGAAGCAGCTCCTTACTAGTAGTAGAAGGTTGATAAAAACCTCCCTTCTCACTCTTCTCTGTGTTCATCCTGGAGATGGATGAAAGGACGTGAGACTCGGACTCAGAATCTGAGATTATATGTCAGTATATATATGCGGACTACGCCGATTCGCATACTGGCGTTTGATCATGAGGCCTTCTCAAGTTGAGCTAAGGCCTCCGTTCATTTGTAGCCTGACTAATAATACTGATTAGTAAAGGTTGTTTGTACAGCTTATGTAATCAATACATCTCCATTCAGTCAATTAAAATCGAATGCAGCACGATCATCGTGATGCGCTTGTCAAGATTCCGCAGTCGCGCTGTTCCACCGTCCGATGCTCTCGCAAGGAGGCGTTCTGACTCGTGACCATCATCTACTGGTACCAAGCACTAGCGGTGTCGAATATCTAAGCCATGTGACTTGGAGGCATCTGACTCTTTGTTACTGTGTTTGACTGTGAAGAGCAGTTTTTACCTGTTTTTGCATCCCAGATCTCGCTGTGTTCTCGTTGTAATCGTCTGTCGCAAACTCTTTTTGAGCCAGGCGAGTACATCGCTGCGAACACAGACGTGTTCTTTGCCAGTCTTGATTGGAACAAGGACGCATTCACCGACCTGGACATCCGCATTTGTACTGTTCGGTTCAAGGAATCAGGATACACTCAACACTCGCTCATCATCAGCATTCCAGCACAGTCACTCCCCGTGCCGAGTGTGTTCTATTCATTCCATGATAACCTTCCCCGTCTCACGGCCCACAGCATACTGTCCTATCATAACTTCCAAAGTGAATGGTTGCCCAATGTCATGGTCATTACTGGGCAGTCTTGTCCCTCTCATTCATCCAGCCGTCGCCTATCTGTGCGTTGCTCCCAATGTCCCATACTTGTAGTGGGCTGCCACAAGAACATGAAATGGTGCGCTGTCCAACAAGCAGGTGTACTTACAGCACGTCTTACCCGGTCAGTATGGCCATACATCGTCTGGTACTAGTAGGGCATCACCGCTGTCTGTTGCGTAGTCGGGGTCCAAGCTCAGGAAGATGGTGGACCACGTATGATTTCTGGACCACTTGAACAAGTTAATCCACGTGAGCCGACGTGCTTATCTTCTTTCACCTTAGAGATCGTGACTCACGGGATGTTGTCACCCACGATTAGCATTATTCAGACGAACTCAGCACTTTAATCACCGGTGAAAGGCACCGACCGTAAGTCATGCCAATGGATACTTAATTTGGACTCTATGACAGTCGACTCTCGAGGAAGGCATAGCATACGTCTATTTGTACAAGTTGTCGACTAAGGTGCGTCCAATACATTGTACAACACCTTGTGTTCCTTTCAGCAGGCAACTTTTTGACACAAACAGTAACAAGTACATTGTTTCTGTCACTCCCTTCCTTTGATGTTCTAAATGCTTGCCACTCGCTTAACACTCCACGCTGTACCCTTTGACCGTAGTTCGACGTATATAAATCTGCATGGCTCCCATCTCTGGTTGATGCAGTCAAGTCATTCCCAAGCATTCTGTCGCTCATACGAGTTGAAAAGTTTCACCGTGCAGTCTAGTCGATCTCATTTCATTCATAGAGGAACAATCCAACCTTATCATTTGACCACCAACGATCTGCCGTCGGCCAAACTTATTGCCTAGGTACGAACTCACTTCCATTATCGCTGTGCACTCTGTAGTTAACTTATCACACAGCCATAATCACTCACTCCAATTCGACCTCAACTAAAGATGACCCTAACTCCACAACCACAGCGCTCGATGGCCAGTGAATCCTCCCGCACGGTTCAACCTTGCTCGTACTCCACCTTCGATGAGTTCTTGGAGGATGTGCAGACCGTGCCATCTAAGAGTGTTCTACAAGGGCACGTAGAATTGGCAACAGATAGTACTGTAGATCCAGACTCTACGATTCCAGAAACACAGAGCGTTGCTACACCTGACAGTTCCGAGGAGGACCATGACATTGACGGGGGAGAAAAGCTACCCCGATAATATCTGGAGACCGTTCTGAGCACAAGATACGGCATGAAGCCTTGTCCACGGTGGATTTTGGAGCTTCTCCCGAGCTATGAGGGTATTCATGATGAAACAACACCCGACATCTCTGAGGTGCGCAGGTATATGGCAGAGAAAGATGCCCAGTTACAAGATGAAGACAATGTTGCATCCATTCGGTATATCTTCTTGCATGTGAAGGAGGCCACCCCCTTACCCCCTGCACTATGGGACTTGCATGACTCCAATGAATCTTTGAAGAAAGTCTCATATACTACCTTCAGATTCGTCTATGAAGCCAAATTCACTCTGCCTGTCTACTCCATCATCCCCTCAAACAAACGTTACATCCGGTCATGGACTCTCGTCGTCCCCCACGCTACGACAGTCCTTCAAGTTGTTAGGAACAACTGGGGACCTTCATTGGAAGACCTCATCGGAGAATTCGTCAGTTTAGGGATCCCATTCTTCACGCTAGCGCTATCCTCTAGTCCTCCTCACACACTGCCCCGTCCTGAGACTGTATTCGACAATCTCAGTCGACTATCCTCATTTCAGCCCAACGCATACACCTACAAAACCTATGAACTACAACGCGATGATTTTTTGAGGCACCCCCACGCACGTGCCGCGCTTCTCAGAGGAGGCATCCTGTGGCGGTTATGCAAAGCGTCTTTTGAGGAACGTATAGGCCTCGTCAATGGGCCGTCCTCAGATGTAAGGCTTTTCGGAGAAGCTAAACGGTTTCCCTCGTCCACCAGCGATGGATTAACCTGGTCAGCATGGGATGACATCCTTACCGATGATGAAGTGGACCTGATCTGTGGTGTATATTACGTTGCAGGTAAACCTTACAAATTCATGCGAGAACTCAAACCTTATTCTGACTTCTCGACGTCCTTTTTTAGTGGAAGACGATAGACAAAAGCAGTGGACGACGCTGTCCTGGTGGCCACGGCCCAATGTATTCAATAAATGCAGCCTGTGGACGGGCTACTGGAATACTTCGTGCGAGTTTTGGTTTCAGCGGCGTCTCGATTCAATTCGCTGTGGGGAAGCCAGACCTTCTAAAACGGCAGAGTGGAAGGGCGCTTTGAGGTACTCTCAAAACAAGACGAGACTTCTCTGTAACCTCACGGAAGAGGCAAGTGCTCTATTCATTAGCAAGGTGCTTGGTTAAGCCTACTCGGTGATTATTGTACGCGCTTCCAAATTGTGTCCGCAGTCGCTACTCGCGATGTACATTCGGTGACATAAATCAAGGGGGATGAATTAAGGAATGACAGTACCTTGCTCCCTACGATGACTGTCTGGTCGATCATATATAACTATGCCTGCCGTTATTGCCACTTGATTCTCTGTACCCGGCGTGAATCTCAAAAAATTCGTAGTAGTTGATTCGTGTCTAGAAGTGGGACTAATATCAAGCGCGCACACATGGTTAAGTACTCCCTTTGAATGAACGCAGGGTAAAGAAGTCATCCAAATACAAGAATAGAAAGTGAGGATGGGTATTGATATGCCAGCGATAAAAATTACAACATAGCAAAAGAAAGAACGAGGTATGAACATAAACTACTCGTCCATGTACTGTGTCTTTATTGATGACCATCAATGAGTTCAGCAGATACACAGCAGACAGAGAACAAGAAACGAGTCCACCATGTTGGCTTTCTGATGATAAGAACGGTTTCTGAACGTGCACCTGTTGCACCTAACGTGAAAGTACTAGTAGCAGAAGGAGGAAGTATGGAGGTGGCGGCAGACTGAGAGCGTGATGGTAACGCCGGGGGTTGATTTTGAGATGAGCCTGGCTGCTGTGCTTGTTTCGTATTGTCCCAATGTAGTTCCGGCTGTGGAGCAGCAAAAAATGCCTTCAGAGATATTCGATTTCGGCGTTGGGAAACACAACTTAAGAAGTACATACCTGTTTGGCTGTGACTACAGCAACCTTATTGACACTAGGATCATAGCGAAGGGTAGTAGATGGCTTTTGGTGGTGCTGTATTTTGATCTTGTTGGGCTGAGAGCAATTGAATGGCAACGAAGTGCCATCAAGGAGTGCATGTGGACTCTCCGAAGGTGTGAGAGTGCGGTGACCAGGGAAACGAGCATAGGTGTCACGTATCACAGGCGACTGAGAAAACGGAGGTGAGAATAAGAACCAATCGATTGAAATGCTGATAGGCGCACATGAACACCGTCTCGAACGTCATCAAAACAATCTCGTGGTGTTTGAAGATTATTTTTAAGCTGATCTGGACGCCGCCAAGCATCGGACTAGATTTTGGACTTGCATTAATATCTACCAGGAAAGTTGAAGACATGTCACATACATCTATCAACGACTTCCCAACTGCGACCTGCGGGCAGGATATTAGCGCGGTCTTTACCAAAGAATGATGGGACGCTATGAACCTTTTTTTCGTGTCCGCCCTGCAATTCCTAAGAGCAGATATCAACAGGATGATGAGGTGGATGATTTTTTTCACTCACATCGGAATGAGACAAAAGGTCTTGAAGGCCCGCTTCTTCGAGAATTGCGTAGGTGTCCCATACATACGCACTTTGGTCCCAGCAACCAGTGACCAGCAGCTTTCCATTAGCGGAAAAGGCCGCACATTCTACACGATTATTGTGTGGGAGGGGTCGACCAACTGGGAGGTTGGTGTCAAGATTCCACAGACGTGCCGTTTCATCACATGATACACTTGCAAGTAGGCAGTTGTTCTGAGACACGGACATGGCGTAGACAACACTTTTGTGCCCTCGGAGGATTGCGATTTGCTGCCATGTGGCGGTTTCGAAGATCCTAATTGAACCATCGAATGACCCGGAGATAAGTTTTTTTTCATCTGATGTCCAAGCAAAGCTGTGAACTGCCAATGGGTCGTGATCGAGTATGGCGAGCAGCTCGCCTGTCTTGGCGTCCCAGATTTTGATTGTACTCTCGTTGAATCCGCCTGTCGACGTCGCAATTTTGGTTGAGTTCGGTGAGTATATTATAGCCCACACCCACTGATGCCCGGTCTTGATTGGGCCAAGAATAGTTTCTGAATCGCCGGTCTCAAGGGCCCACATCCTTGCCGTCCCATCATGATATCCACTCGCCACTCGCCTACCATCTGGACTCCAGCACACTGCCAGCACGAATCGAGTATGTCCTGTCCACTTCGCAGTGACCTTCCCCGTTTCGACATCCCACAATCTCACTTTCCCATCAAGATATCCGCTCCCAACAGTATTACCATTCGGAGACAATGCTATGGCAGTCACTCCGATCTCATCGTCCTCATCCTCACCATCTCGCCAATCATGACCTATCTGTGTGCCACTCTCCAAGTCCCATAGTCGGAGTGAGCCATCACCAGAACATGTGATGATCCGTTGCCCACAACGCAGATACGCGACACCTCGTACGCCGTAGGTATGGCCTCGCATCTTATGGCGGGGAGCGACAGCCGGCGTCTGTTGCTTCTTACTGATTGCGGGGGTCATTTTGAGCGCCCGGCGCCTCCACTACAAACAGATCGTGAAAAATGTATGCGAGAGCGCCTGCCGTGATCTTGAATTAGAACGGGCGATCTTGCACTGAAGGAAAGGCTTGCTGGCCCAGGGGAGGCCCGTCCTCGACTCTCTTCGATACAGGACAGCTGAGTATGCGGAAGGTGGCGTCCTTCAAAGTTATTATCTTTGCGATGAGGTGAGTGGCCAAAATTTGCCTAACAGCAGAGCACTCACGAATTGAAACCAACTCACACGGAATGCACACTCCAAGTACCAATGCGAATGGTCGACGCTGAGATGGTGGGAGCTGCTAAGACTCGGAAGTGTGAAATCAAACCTAAATCTGATTTGAGGGTGTACTTAACGTGTATACAAAGTTACCCTCGTGTTTGATGCACAGATCAAGTGCTGTGTACTGTGACATGATGTACATGCGCTCGGCTAAGACCTATTAGTCGCAATTTGCCAACTTACGAGATCTTCGCTTCCGTGTTTTTCTTCCTTCGAACCCGAGGTCTTCAACTCTTCGATATGTTTACGTTGCAACTTGAGCTCGAAGCTGAAGCTCCTCGCATGTACTCGACAGGTCGACTCATCTTTTCTTTAAATGCTGTGTTTTAAATCCTCCCTGCTCCACATATCGAAGCGGTACGAACTTGAGGTTTCACGAGCGACAACTGTCAGCCCTGCGACTTTTCACCCTGGTGGTACCTGGTGACTGGAAATTGGTTGGCGAGAGCAATTCTCAGTCGCCGTTTATCAAAACGATACCGTTCGGGATAAGCATGGTGAGTGTTGCAATTCGCATAATCGGTTCAACTTCCTTGTGTCTATTAGTACATCAGTATCAGCGCACCGACACAAATTATCATGCTGCCGCATGGTTGACTTTGGCCGAGGTCTCCACGCGGCAAGCGTATAGCAAAATTCTCTCGTGCAGGACAGCATGAAAGACTCAGGTGTCTTGAATAGCTTCGACCCCATATACATCATGCAAGTCGCCAGGAGAAATGTGGCACCTGCCCCTTGATGGTAATATTACTGGTCACATATATAGGACTACACATATGATACTATTACAAGCGCTAGCTAGTCTGTACACAAGTAAAACACTGTCAAACATACGAGTTACTACAGAGGGTAAGTCAAAGTGAAATTTATCAAGTACTCCATCGACTCCTTTCTGTACGTGTCCTGAATAATAGCGGGTGCAGACCAAGGCCATTCACCCAACATCAGCATATCCTTCGATTCAACAGTGTATTCTGGCCAGAAAACACTATTAGGAATCCAATTAGGATCGAGGTGTGCTGCAAAATGGATCAAGAGATGCAGCAAACTCCCTTGCACACCCCACTTCTCGTAAACGAAGTCGGAGCTGTGATACTAGGACGAATTGAGTAACACCTCCATCACGTCTTGACTGAATGTACACATACCGCGCCTAGAAACGGAACTACCTTGAGACCCTTGCTGACTGAAAGAGGCGGTTATGCTTGCTTGAACGGGTAAAGAACTTCCACGCACGATAGGTCCATATCTTTTGTTTCCCCGACCGCTCATATATGAGAAACCGCCTCGGAGCTTGGAAGACAGCATCTCCCTGAAAAGCAGCTATGCGCTTGAACTGCGGGGTCAGCTGGTCACGAGTTCCAGTTCCAAACGGAGATCCTGCTGTTGGATCTTGGGGATACATAAGCAGGATTCTATCGATCTCCTCGTCTGTCGCATTGCGCGCCCAATATGCTTTCAAATATTCATGAAATTCCTCACTTGTCCTAAAATAAGTGAGGTGAATTAGGGCCCTCGACCAGAAAAAAGTAGGTTTCAGTACGTGATGTTAGTGGTACTGAATGCGAAAGCTGTCCCCTCGTCATCGCAGTCACCTATACCCCAAGTTAGCTACATGCTACTCAAAGCGACAAAACACCCATACCTGTGATAAAAGGTACATTTGCAATTTTCCCCTGTTGGATGAGGCGCTGGAAGTTGTCTGTCAAAAATGTTCCATCTGCCCTTGGCATCCAAACCAAATCAAGTGACTGCCATAATGATGTCTGTCAATGTCAAAATATTGATGCTGAAACCTAGTTAAGAACCTGGTAAGAAAACATAGACGGTGTTTTATCCACAGCGGCTTGCAGAATTTCCTGAGGTACTGCTCGCAAGCATTCCAATGTATCGATTGCCTCCTTGCAACATGTTATATCAACAAGAAAGTCATAATATCGTTGACCATTGGTGATATCGCCCATAGGTGTCGGGGACCCTGACTGCATAAATGCCGCACGGAAGAGACCGTCATTGTTACCATTATAAGCGAGCATCTGAAGAGCAACAGATATCGCTCCGGCACTTTCGCCCCATCTTTGTGGTGTCGAGGTTCATCAAAGTTATACATATACCATTAAAAGGACGCTCACATAGTCACCTTTGCTGGATTTCCGCCAAATGAGCTGATGTATCTTTGAACCCAATGAAGTGCAAGTCGCTCTGGTGGAATTATTAGTTCAAAGAAAGTCAAAGAAAGTCGGACCTCACGATCTCGGAGACCTAAGTTTCCAGTCCCAGCCTGCTTAACTTCTTTGCTCGCTAGGAATCCCCAAGCTACACTGATGTGAGTAAAGTTCAATATTTATGAGGTAACCTACCGCTCAACCTACGACACGTTGCTGTCAGAACAAGCATGTAAGACAACAGAACAACCATCACCGATAGTTCATGCTAACGTAGATAACTGGTTCTTGCATTTTCAATGACTTGTGGACTGTGATATTACCGAATTCTCTGTATGCATGGATTATAATTCATCATCTCGATGCCCAGATATGTTTGATAACTCACGATTGACTACTCCCGGTTTCAAAACCGCCACCGAATATATACTGGAGTTGTGTCTCAGCCACGCCAAAACAGGATGCTACTAAGACTGACCACGACTACCGGCAGTTTTGATCCAGGGAGTATGACGGCAGGCGTGAATACATTGAGCGTAAGACCTGAGAGCGAATAGTTCACATAACTGGCATGAAGCTGGACTTTAAACACTCACAATCTTCGCTTGATTCAGTGATGACTCGGCCTATCCCTCTTCGTATTGGTAACTTCTGTTGGGGGCAGGCGGGACCATAGGCTACTGCATTGTGTGAACCCTCATAAGAAGGCACTGGTTGAGGGACTTGAAAGCGAAGGCTCCCGATACTGCGATAGACAGTGAGTCAATAAATATTTGATCGTGATGGCCATACTGACGGGGGTTTAGCGAAGGGAATGCCTAAGAATTGCGCTGTATGGCCAATGAACGTGCCAGTGAATAACGCATCATCTAGCTTCACGATTGGCACAGATGGAAGATGTCGAAAGGCCTGCTGTGTCGTGCAACAGACTAAACTGGGCAGTACGAGAACGGCCAAAAACGTAGCCGACAAGAGACAGTTCATGATGTGCGGAGGAAACGACCAAGAAAGAATGGAATACATGAGCATTTATCCCATCGCGGGTACATGCCAAGCGCTCGTGGAGTCGGACTGGAAGTAACCCGTTCCCGACGAAGTCTACAGGATTTTAACTTTATACGTGAATAAAAAGGTTCTACGTACAATGACACCAGCACTCATGGCTAGGTTTGGGCTAATAATGTGATATCCTGTATTAATATGACGAAAGCCTAGGAGGGAGACTGAGAGTCAAACTTGTACATACATAACTGGGTTGACTGAGCGATCAACAGAATTGGGCAAGGCTCGGAGATGTTGTGATTCCGTATGCAAATGTCCTATATATTAGTATCGGCATCACGTTAGCCCCGTTCCGATTCTGCCGAAAAACTGGCTGCACCAGCAACATTGGCAATTTGGCATGTTCGTGCTGGAGAAGGATTGTCCAAACGAAAGATTTGCGCCAAGATTCCGTGGTAACGATCAGCACGGCTCAAACTCCACCACTATGCGTCCCACCTGCTTGCAAACCCTAAGGTTTCCTCAAAAGCAAGTGAAAACAACCTGCGACTGTAAAAAAAAATCACGTGTTCTGGAGCTATCATTAGACTAACAAAACTCGCACCACACAGTACTAGTACTACTGCTCACCGAATTCTGAACATCACACCGCGGCACCAGGCATTGAAACCCAGGGCTCGGCCAGTCAAAAATTTCCAGACATGATGAACCTCGTGCGCGTGAGCGATGATTCCAGTTCATTCCCAGCTGCCTCAGTAATCAATGATGGACTCACTGTCATTTCCTGCCTGATACCCTGGCTACAGTACCCAGTCATTGAGCTCGGGAGCCTAGGACCCTAATATATAGGAAAGGATTTCGTCACGTTGGAATATCTGACCATTGCACGAAGACGCCATATCCCTTTCGGTTCGGAACAAAAAGGGTCCCGGTGAGGTTTTAGGGTCTTGATGTGCTGAAGTCATGGCGCTTCATTACATAACATTGCCATCATGCCGTGCTTCTGGCTCCTCACAGTAAAACTCGACACCCATGGATGATAAATAGACGGGTCCATCCAAATGTACCTCCCGCCTGTGTACGACAAAAAATGCAATCCTATAACTTAAGCGCGTCTCGACCCGACCAAGCCCCCATAGATAATCTCGTTCAGTCCAAGCTTCACTCCACGAACGACGCCGAATAAACCATACAATGAGACGTCACACTGTAGTAACCATAGAGTCTGCAGGTGACACGTCGGACATAGGAATATGTACGAGGGTGTCAGAGCCGTGCGTCTGCTGGTCGGTCTGCCAGAGAAAGAGGTGCATGCGCGTGGCCAAGATCGCGAGCAAATAGAATTGGAAACTGTAGGCGTGGTTGGTGTTGTGATTAGGAATTCGCAAGCAGGTACATACTCTTCGCAGACATGGGGGTATGCAGTCTGGATGTGCAGAAAATCATTAACTCGATCATATTGAAGGGTAATTGGGTTTCACGCACTTTCGATAACAACGTCTGCGTTAGGATGTTAATGGCTGAGAGGACTATCGGAGCAAGAACCATCATTCGGTGAGCACGAAGACATATGTGTCCTAACTTACGCAGACCGCATGTATAGTAAAATATGTTATGCTTCACCAGGACGTCGTACAGAGGGTAATTCACCGCCCGCCACCTCTGTACGGCACGTATGAGTGTGAGGAGGGCGAGTCCTAAGGAGAACATCAATCAGCGCGCGTGCTTCCGGTTTCCGGTGACAAACCTAGTTGAAACCCAAACAAGAGAAGAAACGTTATGGAAATTTGGACACCAGATAAGGTCCGGTAGCAGCCTTGGGTGCCCTGCATCATGTTGGTCGCAACTGCGAAAGTGCAGTGAATATGCGCAAATAGTGATAAGAGGTATGCGCAAACCATGTGAGACATCAACAGTGACAACGTCGACGGCGATCGATGCAACTGCCACAACCTGTACTGCATCTACAACGAGCCTGGAGTGCGGTGAGGCTGAGGGGACTCACAGAAAAGATGAACAACATGGCTATGAGTACGATTCCATTCTTGTTCCAGAGCACATATGTTCTGAGCAAAAACAAGACTGGATGGATCGGATAAGGAGCACGTGTATATCTCAGGGAAAGGAGACATACATTCGGAACAAGCGATCGATATGACGCTTAAAACTGTGAGAGGACAGAGAAGCGGTCGGTAAGAATGTCCATGCAGCGTGTACCGTGCACGTACAGAAGTAGATGATCTTCACCATATGGCATTTCTGTAAAAGACAGTAAGCATTCATTGCTTTGGCAAGTTCACTGCACGTTCACATACATTGGGATTTTCATTCGGGGTGGAATACACTGAAGCGCAGTATGTCAACGCATAATCGGTGAGATGTGTACTAGAGTTGAACATACAAAACTGGTACGTGATAAGGATGAGAAAGGGGACATATCGTGCAATAACATAAAGGCCTTTAACCTTGGTCCAGCGCGATCGAAGTAGGAACGTCAACTTTGAATTCAAGCATATTATGATCAGTATAGAATTCGAAACGTGTACGAACTAGTGCATTACCTCTTCGTGAAATGAACAAGCAAAATCATAGATCTGGATAAGGAAGTCTAGCAGCGGATGGGAATGGTTTGGGAAACCCTACCCAGAGTGTAGTCATCGACGCTGAGCTGTCAAGTTAGAACAGCAATCCAAGAAGAGTTCAGACAGTAGTACGCACCGAATGTGTACTGGCAGCATATCGTGATAATATCTGTTGTTGCATTACCCTGCTCACATCAGCAAGAAAACGACGCACTGCTAAGAATTGCAGACCCTGCGTCGTTGCGACATCGTCAGCTGAATAGTAAGAGTCCGTCTGCATTCGTTCGAGAGGCAAACAGGGCTTTCGTACACACCTCAGGCTCATGAACCTTCTCATCTTTTATCAGCATGAACGGCGAACCCATCAATATGGGGCCATAGAAAGTCCCTTCGAATTGCGGGTATCTTGGCGCATTGACGAACTTTAACGAGTCGCAAGATCATCAGATCATCAAGTTGCTGGTCAACATCTCGGCGTGTGACCGATTACCAAAAATAGATTGCTTGATGTCTAAGCCGAGACAAAGATCTACACAAACTAGTATATACTAATGTTATCGTTCCGCACATCAACATCGATGCCCCGCCTCATTGTGTTTTTGGATCCCCGATCACGATCATCATCAGATTTCTCTACTACGAGTCGGGGGTTTTTCACCAGGACTTCGCTTAGCACTTGAGCTAAGCCTACCAAGCACTCAGTGCGCTGCATCTTATATAAAATCTATGATTATCATGTAGTAAAATCAATCAAACTAAGCCCCTGCGCACACGACTTGGAGATGGCCCGTTCGACCTGTAATGGACACTGCACAACCTATGTAGTTGGAATCTGTTTCATTATCCTGTGCACGCTGGAATATAATCAGATCCGGGAACTTCCATGGTAACTGAACTATAGCTATAACGATGGATGAATCAATTTTACGCCAAGATCTCACGGAAAGTGCCCCTCAGCTTCATGCTCGAGGGACTCGGACAGGTTTTGTTGCGTATCGAGAGACAGCAGTACATGACACGGCAGCCCAGCGTCGCGAATCGATCTTAACCGGCTCACGAATGGGACAATGAACCCAATTAAGAAGAGAAAAAACTCAGCTATTACGAATCACGCCGACCGTCTTCAGCTTGAGATGCGGGCTAGCCTAGCCGCGATATCATACGCTGTTTGGATGTGCAGTGTCTCTGAAGTACTTGTGCATGGTTAGACATCAAATGAAACCATCACACGCGCAGCACGTAGCACAGCATGCTCACCTCGGCATTCGGAAAGTGATCATTTGACATTACATCTTTGAATTTGGAAGTTCAAAGGGGTGGGCTCAGTGCAGAGTGCTCATCATGATTATCAAGAAGCGAGTGTTACACCTTGTGTTGTTCTCGTGCGTTGACCTCGAAATCTCACGACGGACATTCTTCCCAAGCAAGGATTCCGATTCATTTTATCACCACACTCCATCGTCTGCATCAGGAATCCCCAAAGGTGAGATGCAATACATCTTGTTGAGTGATAAATATTACACGGGCACCCGAGATGTAATTCATATACCTTAAGCGCTTCATTTAAACATTCAATATTCTATCCAGTAGTTAGAATATGCAACGGCAAAAGAACTCGCACTAACCATAAAATACGCCCTCAAGTCTTTCATGCAACTCGCTGCCCAACGCCTGCCGGGCAAATTCTGCTCGGTCTGCTATCCATTCCCCACTTGTTTCAAAACAAGCAGGGGGATAAACAACTGTTTCTTCACGAACCTGTCGATACCTCAGCACCTCACGCACAACGCGTCCATTTCCTTTCTCCACTACCATCTTCAACAGCATCTTGGCCACATCCTCCTGCTCAGCTCCAACTTCCTCGGACCGAAGATCAGGCCAGATGTTGCACGCCACGTGGTGTACCGCAACAAGACGCAGGAATCCATCAACTGATCCTTGGAGCAGCGCACCGGCGTATTTTCCGATCATCTCACCTTTCTCGACCGGGTACAGGAAATCTCTGAGATCCCCTGCGATGACCTGGTCCACAGGAGTACGTACAGTACGCAGCACATGCGCAAAGTCTGCCCATAGTATCCGACGGTAGTCGATGGGATAGGTTAGCGCGAGAGGTGGAAGGAGAAGGGATGCGAAGGTTGGGTGTGAAAAAGAGATGGCGTCGTATAGTGCCAGGAAGTCTGTGTAAAATTGGTAAAAAGGTGTGCCCGATCCGAGGAATGGTAGAGAGGCCTGTTCCAGGTCGATATCAGGCAATCTGGATGAAGGTGACGAAGCAGAAGGAGCACTGAGGGTGAAGGGCGCCAGGAGGTCAGACAATAATTTCGAAACAACGAGGTCTCGGAACACTTCTTCTTCGTCTCCTGTTGCCGGTGAGGGATATTCTTGCTGTTGGCCGTGTTCGAGCATGAACACTTTCATACAAGCGAAAACCATCTCTGAACGCTTCAGGGCGAACTGGTTTAAGCTATATCGTACCACAATTTCTTCCGTGGCTTTGATAAACAGCAGCGATGCGCGAACGACGTCAACTTCCGATGCATCCCACGACGAAGGAAGTGCCTTGAAAACGGGCGAAGACCCAGATCGAAGAAGATGGTCAATTGGTGAAGTAAGCCACACATGAGGTAACGGAAGGCCAGTTGGGCGATGCTCATCAGGGACAGATGATAAGGAGCTGGATGATGGAAGGCGAAGAGTTGTACACCGCATGATCGACTCTGGTGTGACATCGCTGGGGGCAATGTATACTTCCCGGTTCGGGCGAATTGTGTAGTCTAGAAAGGGCTTGATGACACTCCATCCGCCCTTCTCCCAAATGCTAGGGTGTGCCATTGCGCCGAGGAACTGTGGTGTGAGGATTCCTAAAATAGCCCCAAGAATCCGAAAAGCGTGCTCTTCTTGTCCAGGGAGCTGCCTTTCGAGAATTGCTACACCCTGTGCAACCCAGAGGTCAGGTGAGGTCCCTGGGATATGTCGCGATAACCTATGGAAATACGCCAAAAATGTCGCCAGGTGCTTGCAGGCAGCTTGCTCGACACCAGTAACAAGCGACCAAAGGGAATGTGATACGACAAAGGCACAGAAGGATGATAGCTCAGTGAAAGGAAGGTTAAACGGCGGGGCACCAAGCGGAGAGGCAGTGTTTGCGTCGGTGTTTGCGACAGGCGTGCATGCAAGCCACAGGCGGACTACAGAGGAAAGCACGCGCGCATGCATACCAATACGCTGCAAACGTTGGCATCGCTCTAGTAGCGACGTGTCGTGTATCTGTGCGAGTTCAGCGCGTAAAGCCTCTAGGGAAGCTGTTACTACGCTATGTTCAACTCCTTTGCTAAAGCCGTCCTGGATTGTGTTGAGAGTCTCTGCACGTTCTCCCTCCCCTCCCCTGATGCCGTTGACCTGAGCACCCTCGAGCCATGCAGAGGAAGCACTCCAGATGGCTGCCCATACTTCTCCTTCATCTTCCGTTATTCCCTGGCGAAGCTGAAGCACCTCGGCACCCCACCCCCAGCTAGTCACCTGGCTCCACAAGATATCATGCGGTGGAGTCGTGTGATGTGGATCCGTTGCGCAGACTACCCATGCTTCCACAAGTCCTGCCCATGCCACTTTCAGCGGTTTCGACTTGGATGAGACGATATAGGTGAACAAAGAAGCAAAGTAGGAAGCGGCAGATGTCGCTATATGTGAATATAGACCGTAGGATGCAAGAGTGGCATATAGGCGGAGGGTTTTTATGAGAAGTTGTGTGGCAAGAGACTCGGGAAAGGGCGAAGTGGGAGGCAGCATAGTAATAAAACGAAGAAGGGCATCGGCTGGCTCACATAGTGCCATAGCGTTAGTCCGGGAGGATGACGCAAGGACAGCGAGGCACCGGAGAGCGACAGGGTTAGGCAGGGGTGTGTCTGACGGGGGCGGTATAGGCGTAAGAAGGAATGTCTGTATTAGGGCGGGGAGCAATCGAGGTGTCTTTGAGATTGAATCAGCAATAGTATTCGACTCCTGCGATAACCGAAAGACAATGGACAGAAGTTGAGCCAGGGATTCAGGGGGCAAGGATGCTTGCGTGAAGATTTCTGTGGCTTGAGTGAGGAAGTCGGGCACTTGCAAAACGGACATGATGGCAGGAGCGAGATCTAACTCGGCATGCTCAACGTCAAACACTGCGTCCCAGTCGACGATACACTCCCGGACAACCTCAATGGCCCGGACACCGACGCCACCCTTCTCGTTCATCGCGGAGAGGCCGGCGGCGAGAATACGTTTTCGTAGTTCCTCCTCCTTCCCCTGAAGTTCCGAAATCCTGTCTGGGTAGTTGGGGTCCCTCGCTTGCATGCCCAACCGGCGCGCGATGCCAACTAAGATATTAAGCATCATGGTGCGTTGCGCAGGGACAGTGGAGCGAGACAGCAAAAATATATCATCAAGAGTGTACCCTGCGTGATCTCCATCTGCATGGTGATGTAAGCCAAGATGAGATGGCAGAGCAGCAGAGATTTCTGCAGGTATAGGAGCACCCGTCAGATCGAAGCGAAGCAAAACCGGCTCCGAAATGAACGACGAAGGTTTCATCCAAGACATGGATGGGTTGTCTGCAGGCATATTCGGGAAATATCGTCTCCGAATATATTCTGGAGTGCCTTCCTCGGGCTCTGATCTATCATCCGTAATCTTCTGCACAGGCCTGTCGTCACCCTTGGGGCTTGCAGGAGAAAGTGGTCGCTTACACGGCAAACCATTCTCTTTGAAGGTACCCAGAGAGACAATCGATGGGTCTGGGAAATCTGGAGGCGGAGGGAGCGCAATGGCCTTTCGTTTGGGAGATACTGGTGCAGACTCATACACGTAGACATCAGCAGGCGTCAATGCCGCAAAGCGAAGTTGACGACTAGCTTTATTGGGTGACGAAGGTCTAGTACTGCTTTTCACCAGGATCGGGGGAGCTAAGATGCAGCCTTCGTGTCAAAATACCCATTAAACCCGGGGAGTGACATGCCTCTTTTCCCGAAATCTTCCAGACTCTTGACCCTTGAAAGGTTGCGTCCGGTGGTAAAACCAGGTAGGGAAGACACGATCGGAATTTCGCGGGAAACTTCGGAAGCCTGCTCATTTGGTATTAGTATACCCTCAGGTATAGCGGGAGCCTTCGTTGTATTTCTTGATCTTGCAGCGCGTACACGCTCCAGAAGGTCAGCTGCACCACTTCCCAGTTGCTCTAAAACCTCGCATCTCTCTTGTTCTCGCTCCTCTTCAGTCATATTAGCCACTCGGCGCTCGTTTTCGTCACTAATCTGTTGACGCATAGCATCATCGGCGGTGTGTGAATCCACCTCAAGTTGTTTGGCGGGACTCGCAGGGTTTACGAGAGGTACGGTTGTGTGCCTGGCATTGCTACTGCTCTTTTCCTCTTCTTTGGCGCGAGCAAATGCGCTCTTTGACCTGTGCTGGAC